GTGGTGTGAAAGAATCACAGTGATGTACGTGTGATAAGTTCTACAGGGGAACTGTTCTGGGGGACAAGCCTGGGATGGAGGCAAGGGAGTCAGTGGGGCTGGCTTGTCCTCCGAGGTACCTGGCCTTCATGATGGCCCCACTTGAGCAGCTGCCCAGGGCAAGGCTGGAATGAAGTAGTCCACAGTGAGAATTGGAGGGAAAGAGGATGTCTCTGGTCAGACCCACCAAACCTCCATGGGCCCTTTTAAGTCATTTACGGCACCTGGAGTTAGCAGGGGAGGGGTTAGTTTGCTGGTCTCATGGATAGCCAGCATGTGAAGCAAAGTCTATAAATATTTCCCATTTATTAAATTGTTTATTGTTGTTGTTGTTTACCATCGAGTCAGAACTAGCCCATAGCTGACCCTCCAGCGGGTGTTCAGAGACAGTAAATTGCACAGGAGACTGTCCATCCTTCTCTGATGAAGCAGTTGGTGGATTCGAACCATGTGCCTTTGGGAATGTAGTGCAGTTTCTTACCACTAGGCCACCAGATATTAAGTAAATAGTATTCTACTTGATATTAGGTCCACAGAGACAAATACTGTCTATGGCCTCAAGGAGTTTACAGTCTAGTGCGGGAGTCAAGCAATAAATAGCTACAAATGGACTATGCAGGAAAAGAACAGGGGGTTCCAGAAAGATGAATGGGGGTTCTCTGATTTACATAGAGGGCAGCAAAAGGCAGAGAAAGAGGCATTTAGAGATTGGAAGACTGAGTTCACCAGTTCAAGGGAGTATAGAGAGGCATTTAAGGCAGAAGGAACAATGTGTGCCAAGTCCCTAGGCTATAAGAAAAAGCACAGCACATGGTGGGAACTTGATAAAGGCCAAGTTGGCAGTAATATAGCTAACTCGTTAGAATTGATGTTGCCTATTGGTCCAGTGGTGAGAATTTTTGATGTTGAGATGAAATCCATATTGAAGGTTGTAGTCTTTGATCTTCTGCACCAAGTGCTTCAAGTTCTCCTCACTTGCATCTGTCATCTGCAAAACACAAGTTGTTGATGATTGTTCCTCTGATTCTGATAACACGTTTCTTTCTAGAGTCCAGCTTCTCAAATGATTTACTCATTTTTGGAGCCTATTTGCCTGTTGTTGTTATGTGTCGTTGAGTCACCTGCAACCCACAGCAACCCTATGTACAGCAGCTCTGAAGCTTGCCCTGTCCTGAGCCAGTGCCACCAATTCTGACACACTTTGCCATTGCCCGTTACTGTATCTGGCCCTATCATCCATGGTCTTCCTCTCCTGCACTGCTCCTCCACCCTTCCAAGCATGATGTCGTTCTCCAAGGACCAGTCTCTCCTGGCCACGTGCCCAAAGTATGTGAGACAGAGCTTCAAAATCCTAGCCTCCAAGGAGGCTTTTACCCTCTCCAAGACAGACCTATTTGTTTTCTTGGCAGTCCATTGGATGTTCAAGACTCTTCTCCAGCACCACAATTTGAAGGCTTCTATTCTTCTGTCATCCTTATTAATCATTGTCCAGCTCTCTGATGCATAGCAAGTAATTGCGAAGACCATGGCCGGGATTAGGTGCACCTTATTCTCTAGACTGATTATCACTGGCCTAGGCTCCACATAATTCAGAATCTTGTAAACCACAGAAAGATATCTCTTTTACCCTAAATGCAATGGGAAGTCAGTGAAAGTGGTCAGATTGAACGAAGTATTCATGTTAGTCCCACTGAATTTGTGGCAGACCCTGGGAAAGAAACTCAATTATCCATGTTGTTGTTGTTGTGTGCCATCATGTTGGAACCAACCCATAGCTGCCCCTCCAGCTGGTTTTCAGAGGCAGTAAATCAAACAGGAGGAGATTACCCGTCATTCTTCCACAGAGCAGTGAGAGGATTTGAACTGCATGCCTTTGCGACTACAGCACAGCTTTCTAACCAGTAGGCCACCAGAGCGCCTTTATTTATCCATACTGAGTTTAAAGAACACACAAAGCCCTGTGCTACAAATGGGAACTGAAGATGGTAAAGAGGAATGTCTAAGGACACACTTCCTTAGGAGCCTGTGGTCTAAAAGAGATTACTTAACTACAGTAATTGAATCAAGCAGTAATAAAATATATTCATCCAATATACACCATACACCAAATCTAGCCAAGCCCTGTGCCAGCTGCTGTCCTTCAAGAATCATACATGCCACACGCTGTGTCACAGAAGTACAAGTACGAAAGTGCTCACAGAATTTTGAGTGGGTTAGAATCACTTTCGGCTGTGCTATTTAAAAATAAATAAATAAATAAATGAGCAAATCATTTGAGAAGCTGGTATCAGGGTCCGAGGAAGATTCACCAACAACTTACCGATGACACAACCTTACTTGCTGAAAGTGAGGAAGACTTTAAATACTTGATGCAGAAGATGAAAAATTGCAACCTTGAATATGAACTACACCTCAACATCAAAAGTTATCACCTCTGGACCAATAGGCAACATCATGCTAGTTGGAGAAAATACTGAAATTGTCAATGATTTCATCTTACTTGGATCCACAATCAATACAAGCATTATCAACAGTCAGATTAGATGTATTGCACTGGGACATTCTGAAGTCAGAGACCTCTACAAATTATTGAGAAGCAATGATGGCAGTCTGAAGACTAAAGGGCACCAGATTCAGGTATTTTCAGTCACTTGCTGTGCATCTGAGAGCTGGACAGTGAACAAGGATGACAGGAAAACTGATGCCTTTGAGTTATGGTGTTAGAGATTATTGAATATCCCATGGACTGTCAAGAGAGCAAACAAGTCTGTCTTAGAGAAAAAATGCAATCAGAGTGCTCTTTAGAGGAAACAATGTTGAAGCTTCCTCTCACATACTTTGGGACATGTTGGTAGGATAGGCTAATTTCTTAGAAAGGGACATTATGCTTGGAAAGGTGGAGAATCAGCAGAATACAAGACTCTCAACAAGATAGACTGATATGGTGACTGAGGCAATGGACTCAAGTGTGTCAAAGAGGATAAGGATGGTAGAGGGTAGGACAGGTTCAGATCTGCTGTGAGTCATACTAGACTTCATGGCACCTAACAACAATGACAATCTGGAAAAGATTTTTCTAAAACTCCATTAATTTGATCTTTAAAAAAACCAGTATGGGGGAGCACAGGTGGCCTAGTGGCAAGTAGCTGCGCTGCAATCCCAAAGGTGCTTGGTTCTGATCCACCAGATCCTCTGCTGAAGAAGGAGAAACAATCTCCTCTTGTATCAGTTGGATCTGATTCAACGATAAACACACACACAAATAATAATAAAATTTAAAAAAAAAACAGTATGTAGTTGTATCTTCTAACCAGGAACAATGCTCGCTACGGAGGTCAAGAACCTTAGAGTTTCATAGCTGAGACACATACAGGAACAGACAGGGACATTTAAATATCTGGTAATAAAACAGTGAACAGCAAGTTTTCTTCAAAGCAGTATTGAAGAAAGATAATTGAGTGGAAGGCAGACTCTCCCACAAAGGGGCTCCCACCTTCTTGAATGGATTTGACTGTACCTTCCTTTGCTGGATTCTCACCTGCTGTCTTTCTTCTTAGGGAACTCTGCTGGTGTAGTCCATAGGGAGCCGCACTGCTAACCTGTTAAGTCAGACCTCTCAAATTCACCAGCACCTCTGAGGGAGTAAAACGGGCTGTCTCCTGTGCCATTTACAGCCCCAGAATCCCAGTGGCAGGTCAGCTATGAGTCAATTTGGCCTGACAGCAATGGGGTTTTACTCTCTTGTGTTGGTCACATTGGTCTTTCTTCCCCCAACCCCAATCTGACTAGCTTCTTCCATTTATCTTCCATGTGTCAATCAACATTGCTTTTCCCTGGGGTACATACTTAAAGTGTCTCTTTCATCTAGAAATACCTCAGAATAATGATGGATACAAAAGGAAGATGGGATTGAGGATGGAGAGAGAATAAACATTAAGCATTGATTTTAGATGAGTTAGAGAGTGTGGTTTACATTCCATGAGAAACAATTTGGATGATATTTATCAAAATCACAGATGTATATATTTTCTGATCTAATTCCATTCCCAGGTATTTATTCTATAGTTCTATACTCTCATGTGCCATATGATACCACTTTTCTTAAGTTTTAGGAGTGTTTCTTTTGAGTCTTCCTCTTTATTACCTATACCACTGTCGATCCTCATTCCAACAGATCTTTATTTTGTCTATCTTGGCATCTGCCTAAAAGTCAAAAGATTCCAGGCTGACTTCTCCTTAATCCTACTGTGTGTGACCTCAAAAAAATTACTTTCCTGAGCCTCCGTTTTCCCATTTGTACAATGAAGGGCTCTGATCACATGTCAAGGCTTAAATCAGGCAGGATGGTATTCACACTCCCCTGCACACTGTGCTCTGCCTGGCCGATCTTCCTGCTTTTGCATGGCTGCACTCAGCCTCTCACCTCCCATCCCCCCAACACCACCAGATGGCAAACATCAAGACTCAGCTCAAATATCTCGATTTTAGCCTGTCCTTTCTTTTTACTACCACTACCGAGTGAGAAATTACAGAATGAAAAAGGCAAGGGAGCTAGAAAAATTTAAGTTTTAACTGTCCCCATTCACCTACTGTGGCTCAGTTTCTCACTTGTTAACATCGGGAAAACACGAGTTCGCATGTCTAACCAGTTTATGGGGATTAAAAACAAAGCATGTCAAGTGTCTGACGGGCAAGAAACACATCATAACGTTCAAGACACGTACACCACCTTTTAAGAGCCCGCATCATACAACATTAGAGAGTTCTTTGTCCATTGGTAGACTTCGAGCTACCTCATGGAGTCTTTCCCGCTGCCACGCAATGCGGGCAGCACTAAACCCACGCCGGGTACCGAGGAAGCTGGAGAAGCTGGGCGGGCCCAAGACACGCGGCTCCAATTCCCGGGGGAAGGCCTAGCGGAGCGGACCCGGCCTCCGGGAAGTGACGCCACCAGCCGAGCAGCGCCGAGCGAGCCGGCCCGAGCGGGGCGCGCGCAGCCATGGCGGAAGCGGAAGGGAGTTCTCCGCTCCTGTTACCGCTGCCGGCACTCCCGCCCGGGATGGCGGAAGTGGAGGCGCCGACGACGGCGGCCGAGACGGACATGAAGCAATTTCGCGCTTCTGGTGGTGGTGCCATGGATGTGGAGCGGAGCCGTTTCCCCTACTGTGTGGTGTGGACGCCGATCCCGGTGCTTACGTGAGTTTACCTCCGACGTCAGGCTGGGGGCGAAGAGGGCCTTGGGAAAATCCTGGACTCGCACAACGTCTTTGGGCGGCCAGGGGCAAGGCTTCTGCCCTGGTCCTCACTGGACCTTATCTCGGGCCCAGTCCGTACTCCCAAGAGTTACTAGAACCCCTGCCACCCTGATGAATGGGACACGTTCCCCGCCCACTACGCCTGATCTCACTCTTATCAGACCCATAACCTTTTATTGGCTTTCTGTGGCTGTAAATTGCATCGGAGGAGATTGCTCATCTTTTCCTACCGATCTGCCAGTGGATTCGAACCGCATGACAGATGCGATCTTTAGTAGCAGCGCAACAGTCGACGGGCTACGCTCCCAGAGCCTTCCTACGCTTGGTCTGTTTGGAGAGAAAGGCAGTTGTAGTTCGCTGGGAAACGGGAGCTGTGGGTGCTCATTCTCCATCCGAGGAGGCAGCTTCATTTCATTCATTGGTTTGTCCATTCCTAGAACAAGTGTTTACTGATTATTTATACACAGCACATCTGCTGGGTCTAGAAATGAGACTGAGACCTCACAGACTCCTGGAACGTCAATATTAGAAGAGTCCATAAAGATCTAGGAATTCAGCCCATTGCTTCACAGATGCGGCTGAAGATCACATACCAGCTCAGTTGCAAAGCGGGTTTAGGGTTTAGGGCTCAAGGTGTTTGCTTCTTATGTTGCCACCTGTTCTCCATGTGTCAGCTTCCGAGGCAAAGGTTCTTTCTGTGCCACTAGCCCATGTGTCAGAAGAGAAGACAGATGCCACCTTTTAGCCAGGAGCTCCCAGGTTGATTAATCAGGTTTGCTTTACTGCTTCATCCTTGTCACTTGACAGCAATAGTCTGGACAATTTGCCTTTGCCCTTAATACCTGTTCATTTCAGTCAATTTCTGTTAATTTCTTAGGAGCTCAGATAAAGAAGCTGAGCAATTGGTACCATTAAGTAGTTTAACCAAATAAATACAAGGCTAATGAGCAAAAGCAAAAATTAAAAGTCTCCATAATTAGCGGTCTTTTGACTAAATCTCATCTGCTTTCACGTGAAAAGATAGATTTGTTCCCTCTATCAGAAACCAGGAGTTCTGGTGGCTTCTTGTTGTTGAGAACTGTAGAGTCAGTACCGACCTATAGCTGACCCTCCACCATCCTGTTTTCAGAGGCAGTTAATCACGCTGGAGGAGATTGCCCATCCTTCTCCCACAGAGCAGCTGGTGGCCTCGAACTGTGTGCCTTCAGGATTGCAGTGCAGCTTCTTGCCACTAGGCCACCATGGTAAGGAATTTTGGTGCCAACACAAAAGTATACTATCCACAGGAGAAAGATGGCCAATCTCCTCTCTGAAAACCTGCTGGAGGGTCAGCCATGGGTCATTTCCGACCCCATGGTCCACAAAAACAACATCAGAAACAGGCAGTAGGTGCTATGGAGAAGGGGTTCTTTTTGCCTTTGTATGTTTACAGATCATAAAACCATGATTTTTTTTTATTAAGTTGAAATACTTCTAATTTAAGAGTATCCAACTCTGACCTTTAAAAATAAAAATTTTACAAAAATATGTTTATTTAATTCAGTCATTGCTCTTTTAAAACATTTGCTAAGTGATTCTGATGTGCACAGAATAGTTGTAGGTGATGAGAATTGGTGAATAAAACAAATAAGATATTTAGACTAGAATGTTTCCGTTTCCTTTTCTCTCTTGCTACCGCTACCTCTTGAAAACCTACAGAATGAAAAGAGCAAGGGAGATAGGAAATTTGGGGTTTGGCCATGTCCTCTCACCTTATCTACTGAGCCTCAGTTTCTCACTCATAACATGGGGAAAATACCTATTCACTGGCCTAACCAGTAATTAAAGCACAGGACTACTAACCAAAAGGTAGATTATTCAAACCTACTAGCTGTTCTTCAAGGGGAATGATGTGGCAATCTGCTTCCATAAAGATTTACAGTGTCAGAAATCTTACGGGGCTATTCTGTTCTGTACGATACAGTTGTTAGGATTCGATGACGACTGGTGTGATTAGTTAAGTTTGGTCCTGCTGTTGTATTGTTTGAGCTCTGGTGGTTTAGTCTGTAAAGAGGTGTGAGTGTAGTTTACAGCCTCAGAAATCCAGTGGAAGAGTCAGCTCTGAGTTGGTTCTGACTCAGCAGCAGTGAATTCAAGTTTTTTTTCATCAGTTTCAAGGTGCCCTGGTGTCATAGTTGCTTACATGGTACCCTGCTAAACAAAAGGTCAATAATTTATATCTACCAGCTGGTCCATTTCCTGTCAAGATTTACAGGCTGGGAAACCAGGTAGAAGGTTGTTTTTGAGGGTTGGAATGAGTTGATTTGGGTTTTTGGCCTCATAAAATTTATATCATGGAAGAGAGTAGGCAGTAAACAAGTTAACAAGAGAACTTCAGATAGTGCTTTGTGTAATAAATATTATTAAATGTTAATGAGTAGAAACGGGAAGGATAATCAGGAATTTCAGTTTTGCTAAAAATGACCTGTTGGCTTTAGCTCTTGTTGGTTTTTCACCATTCTCAAAAACCCCATCTGTGGAGTAGCACCTTGCTCTCAGGACTGGCGTAACAGGAGGTGGAATCACAGAGTGCCCCACCAGCTAGGCCAGGAGACACTTGCACCCCATTTCTGTTCATACCCCATGTCTATTCGAGACACTTCTCTTTTTTTCCCTGACACATTCCACTCTTTGCTCCTTGATAGTTTCACTTCCCACCTGTTGATATCAGTCCTACACTGAGACGACGGTAAAACCTACCTGCTCTGTGGAGCCCTTTGCTGTCCACGCCTCGGCCCCTCAGATTGGCTCGTGAGCAGCACCTCTCTCGACTTCCCCTTTACCTCTCATGGGGTGTTTTGTGCTCACACTGACGTGGCCCAAAGATAGACCTACATCTGCCAAATCTCCAGCCCCCATTCCTTGCTGACACATTTGAGGTTCCTGTATATTTTTGGTTTTTAGGGTTAGCAACACAACTTACTACAGTCTGTGCCGCCAGAACCCCCTGAGATTTTACTTTAAAAAATACGAATGACTTTAAAAAAAAAATGATGTTAGGGCTTGGCATAGATCATGGAGTTTTTAACCCTAGTCTCTTCCCTTGTAAATACTGTTTCCTGTTATTTCCTCAGACACCCCTTGCCCTAACTCCCCTATCACCGCCACTGCAAATTACTTTACAAAGTGAACAAGTTTTATGTATACAGGCAGTGGATTTTTGCACATGTTCACTCATGTAGCCACCCGCCAAAGGACAATTTGTGCCCCTACCAGGCAAGTTCACCACAAGGATAGTTGTACCTTTCCCCCCTTCTTTTATTTTTTGTTATTTGCACTTCTTACCTCTTGCAGCAATGATTGGTTTTGCCTTTTCTTGACCTTCAGGTAAACAGAATTATTCTCATGTACTCTATGTAAAGGGAGCTCTGATGGCCTAGCAGTCGGAAGCTATGCTGCAATCCCAAAGACATGCAGTTCAAATCCACCAGCTGCTCTGAGGAAGAAAGATGAGCAGTCTCTTCCTGTGTAGTTTACTGCCTCTGAGAACCCACTGGAGGTTCAGCTATGAGTTGAGTTAGTTCAACAGCAACAATGACAACCCTGTGTGAGGTTTCTTTTGTTCAACCCTATGTCTAGGACGGAGCTCTGGTGGTGAGATGGGCTGCCAAACAGAAGGCTATGTACCTCCAGTGGCTTTGAGGGGATAAGATGGGCAGTCTCCTCCCATTAAGATTAGAAGCCCGCTAGAGGGTCGCCATGAGTTGAAATGGACTCGATGGCAGTAAGTTTGTGTTCTGAGCTTTTTTTTGTTTTATTCTTTTTTTCTCTTTTCTTTGTTATTTTGTGTTTTGACTTTTCTGTCAGAGGCCTTGCTAAGTGCAGCAAAAGTGTGTTCTGCTTCTTTATTGTACAGTGCTTCACTGACTGCCACCATTTATCTACCCATTTTACTGTTGTTGGGCATTTGGATTCTTTCTACTTTTGTTTTTTAGTCAGCTTTATGAAACAGATTTACATACACAATTTTAAGTTGAGTTTTAGCAAATGCATTTTTTCTGCATTTTCAGGAAATTGTGATCTGAGGGACATTTACAGAGCAGAGCAATATTCCATTCATATTTTGTTTTCATTTCCTCCTAGCTTGTATAAAGGTGCTTTGAGTATTCTTATATTGGTTGTTGTAGACCTTGTACTTATTTCTGTTGGTTGTATTCTCAGAAGTGGAGTCACTGAGACATAGAGTATATTGCCAAAGTGGTAGAGACTGTTTAATTTCTGTTTCCACCAGCAGTGAATGAATGAGGGCTTTGGTTGCTCTTTATCCTAAAATCCATTTGGTGTCATCAGTCCTGTTAGTCATAGCCATTCTTATGAGGTGCAGTGTAATCTCATCATGCAGTTCATTTGCAGTTGCCCCCTTCTGCATTTCCCCAGCGCCATTGGACCACCAATTATACCACAGATTATATTCCTATAGAGAGTACCTGATACCTGCTTAGCCAACAGACAGTCCCCCCTAAGCACTTCCCCTTCCCTGTCCTTTTCTCTTACAGGTGGTTTTTCCCCATCATTGGCCACATGGGCATCTGCACATCCACAGGAGTTATCCGGGACTTTGCTGGCCCCTACTTTGTCTCGGTAAGTCCACACTCTTCCCCCTCTGAAGGATCATAAGGCTGAAATGGAAGGCTGACCTGTCTTGCCTACAGGCAGGCTTTCTGTCCTGAGATCCAGGAGAATGCAGATAACAAGCAGTCCCTCTGCCCTCATCAGTGTTTGACCCCTTTCCCCTTCTCTTGCCTCCAGGACAGGCCGGGAGGGCAGTGTGTCCAGAAGGATTCTTAAGTAACTGACCCAGCCTTTTGTCCCCACCCTTGGGGTACTGAGACATGGGTAGGGGTTAGAGGCAAGAGTGGAGAGTCAGATCATCCAGGAACTACATCTCGGGATCTTCAGAAGGTGGGAGTCACAAGGTGGGGGGAAACTGGTTCGCCGGGTTTGGCCATGGAGAAAATTGGGTGGGGTTTCTAGAAAGAACCACCTTGTGTTCCCAGGGATGTGGCCACGATGGGGGTCAGTGGGCTTGCTCTAGATGAGCATGCATCGTCTTCCTTGTTTCCAGGTTGCTGCTTGATCTCCATCAGAGTCTGGAGCAATAGGCTGTGATGGTTCCAATCTGTGGGTTAATAGTCCCCATAATCCTACTTAGGCAGGATAGTGGCTGTGACTTTGCCACTTCAAAATACTTTCACTCCTGTTGCTTTCCTTGTTTTATATGTTTGTGATAACTAGCATTGCACTGCATGCAGGACACTGCTTTTCTAGGCAGTTTGTTCATCTTGACCAGCTAGCTCTTCCCTAATTCTACACCCAGAATCTTTCTCTGCGTAGCTCCCACTGCCTAGATCTTATTGTAATAAGTTTAGGATTTGGCTGAAATGCCTTTCTTTTTTTTTATTATTAAATTTTATTAATTTTAATGAACATTTACAGAGATTTTGGGTTTTCATTCATTCATTGTTGGACTATTTTCTCTACCCTCCTCCCCAGTTCGTTCTTTTTTTCCCCCCCTTGAAAGTCTGTTTTAATTGTCCAGTTGCCACAGTGCTTGTCAAAGCCACTTCTAATTAATCTCCTTTGTCAGTGTGTCCTTTGCCATTCCCTATCACTCCTCCCTGAGAGAGACTTCACCCTGATTCATAAGGAAAAGGGGATGGCGTATTCTCTTAGCTACTTCCTGCTGAAAAGGGACGCTGTAGGTTTCAGGGTGAAGATCTCTCACTACTCTAAAGGGCCCCTTTGGCAATAGGAAACACATAGACTATTATGGAGATTGATTTTGGAATTTAGATGCACTATTATCAGTTGTGCTTAGCCGTACATGTTCATATCCTTGATGAAATTCCTTTCTTGTTGGAAGCTCTCTACCCCCAGTTCTACGCTAAAGATAGTCACATCGTCCCTGCTTTGCCCCACATACAGAGATAAGAGCTACTTGACCACCATTATTGGGCCAGAAGTCAGAGGGTTGCCACCATTTTCACCACAAAGAAAGGTGCCTCGCTTTGATCAAAGCTCAGAAAAGCTTGACCACAGAACTTGGAAACTATCAGGCCCAAAGAATTACTTGGGTGCCACACGGCCAAACCCAGAGCCCAGGTCTTGATCTCCCCAGGTGGTGCCCTGTATATTCTGCATGACTGTATTCCCACAGAAAAGCTGCTGCTGGCACCTCAAATACTGTACTTTTTGCAGCACAGAGCCCATGCCCCTGACATACTTCTCAGTCACTGCTTTAACTACTGACCCAGGACTGTCCGCTGGGCTGGATACAAGTTCTCCACTGATTCAGATTCTTGTCCCTTACAGGAAGACAACATGGCATTTGGGAAGCCTGCAAAGTAAGTAATGAACACCTGTGACCAGCCCTTGGGCCAGGTTTTTCCTGCCTGAAGCAACAAGCTGGACTTGAGTCCTAGCAAGAGTCAATACCCTGAGGACAGGCGGAGAGGGGAGGGACAGCCAGGATCCAGCAGGGTATAGCAACCCTGTGCCAAGCGCCCACTATCTGCCAGGTCCAGGACTAGCACTTTTGCCTACAGATCATCTAGGCCCAACTTTACAAGGTCGGGTTTTAACTCCATTGGAAGGACAAGAGGTCAAGACAGAAGGTAGGAGCTGGTCAGGCTGGGACCCACCTCTGTTTCATTCCAAAACCTAGACTATCTTTTGCTTCTCAGAAAGGGCACACAAACCAGACTGCTGGCAAGTCGTGTTTGGTGAGGATTAAAGAACTTGAATTTTTACTGCTTTGGTTTGCAACTCTTCGTCTTCACTTTTTCTGTCTGAAGACCCACCCCAGCTGTGTGCTTCATACTCAGAACAGTATCTGGTGCTCCACCTGTGGCAGCCCTTGGACGGTACAGACAAACCCAGGACTCAGGAAGGAGTTTATATGCCCAGATAGTAGGACCGTATGGAGTGTGCTCCCCTATTCCTACTCTCACTTCCTCAGCCAGCTGGAGGTCACATCCAAGGACTTCTTGGACAGGTGTTTGCTGCCAGGCTGTTTTATCCCAATACGGTCGCTCATGTCCACACTAAGGCTCTTCAGCTACTCCAGTCGAGGGTGCTGTCCTGTCTCACTGATAGCTCCTTGACCCTGGGCTCCTATGCCAAGCCATGCCCCACACAGCAGCCAGAGGGCGCTCTGGTCCCGATACTCCTTGTCTGAATCCCTGTGGGGCACTTCTGTTGAGAGCAGTAGTTCTCATCCAGCTTGGGGTTTATGACACTTTAGCTCTGTGATCTTCTCTCCTCCTTATTCCCACCAAACCATTAGAGAGACCTTGGGCTGAATGCCTGCTGACAGTCAGATGCCTTTCTGTGACATTTTAGTACATGTGGCTTTTGCCTACACCTCTAGACTAACCTCTAATATTCTGTCGCCTTGTTCCTTCCTGTGAATCCCTAGTAATACAAAATCACTGCTTTCAGGTATATACTGCACAGCTTTATGCCTCTCACTGCCCAAGCTGTTCCCTCTGCCTGGTATGCCCCTCGCCTCATTATCTTGTTAATGTTCTATGAAGTCAGAACCAAGTCATAGTTGTCCTACCAGCAGGTTCAGAGGCTGTAAATTAAATGAGAGGAGATTGTCCATCTTCTTCCCGCAGAATAGCCGGTGGGTTCGAACTGCTTGACTTTGGGTTGGCAGCACAATTCCTTACCAACCAGGCCACCAGCCCTCCTGTTCTAGGCCCCACTAAATTCTCTTTCTTCAGACTAGACTGAGGTGTTACTTCGAGGAAAACTCACAAAACACCGGCTGAGTGACTTGGTCTTCAAGGTTGGCTACGCAACTCCCTGGATCTTCAGCCTCAGCCTTGCGCATGGGGCCTGGCATAGAGCAGTCATCAGGGAACGTTTGTGAAGCTGGGTGTCCACAAAGGAGCAGAACTAGTGCCCAGAACCCCTCTGTCCCTCAGGTACTGGAAGCTGGACCCTGCTCAGATGTATGCTAACGGGCCCAATGCGTGGGACACAGCTGTGCATGACGCCTCTGAGGAGTACAAGCACCGCATGGTACGTGGGCTGGGACAGGCAGGCATTCCTCGGGGTGGCTCCAGGACAGGAGATGTCCCCGAAGCCCCGCCTGACCCAGCCCTTCCTGTGCCTCTAGCACAATCTCTGCTGCGACAACTGCCACTCACATGTGGCGCTGGCTCTGAACCTGATGCGCTATAACAACAGCACCAACTGGAACATGGTGACACTCTGCTTCTTCTGCCTGCTGTATGGGAAGTACGTCAGGTGAGTGTGTCAGTATGCCACCCACCCACTGCTGCCCTCCACTGGAGCTCTTTCCAATGGGCCCAACAAGATCATCCTTCTCTGGGGTCCTTCAGCCAGCAAAGAGGAAAAGCAGATGCCAGCTGGAACTTTGATGGTTCTAAGATTATAAGCTGAGTTCCTGGAAAATTGAGCACTGAGGCAAGGAGCACTGGACTCAGAGTCCAGCTTTACTTGGATCCCAAGCTTGGCTCTATTACATGTTCACTGTGAGCTCTTGGGTAACTGGCACAGCCACTCCAAGCTGTAACTCTTCTATAACATAAGGGAATAAATGCAGCCCCTCAAGGAGGTTCCCAGAGCTCTAGGCCTTCCCAGCAAGTAGAGTGAACAGCTGAGGATGGTGAGGGAATGGGTCTAACCGCTGAAGTGACACTCCCACAGGGCCTCTTTCTAATTCTCTCATTAGTCTGATCTGGGTAAGAGGACCCCAGTGGTGGACCAGGAGGACCTTTGTAAGGTCTTCTGACCCTTCAAGGCAAAAGCGTTAATCCTGATTTACAGATAAAGAGCTCAGAGAGGTTGAGTGACTAGCCTTGGTCCCACAGAATCACCATCACAGAACCCAGACCTGGGCTGGTCCAGCTATCTCTCTCTACATTTTTATTAGCTGCTCTCATCCATAAGACTTTCTGGAAAGGAGACTCTTGGGAATCTTTCAGTCCTGGAAGCTTTCATAGGCCCCTGGCCTGTGTCCTCACTTCAAAGAGGGAGGAGAATGTGTAATCATGATCACACAGAGACCAATGCAGAGTCTCTGACTCCCAGCCACCAGTGGGCAGAACCACCTCCTGCTTTCCATGCTCATGCTTAGGTTCCTGGTCCTCCCATTGGAGACATCTCCTTAGAGGCAAGAATGACTGTAGGGGAAGCCACAGAAGTCCAGAGAGGTGACCGCATCTCCTGGACTACCCAACAAGGTGTCGGTAGATGATCACTGGGAGCCGGGATGGCCCCTGCCCAGGACTGTGGTTGGTTGTTGTCCATGGTGGGCACCAGACCCAGCCCTTTCTAGGGGTCAAGGGGGGTTCCAAGGCTGCCTTGAGGGGCTTTGGGCTGCACATGTGTTTGCCTGGCCTGTCCCACCTATGCTCTCCTCCCTCCTGTCAGTGTCGGGGCCTTCGTGAAGACCTGGCTGCCCTTTATCCTTCTCCTGGGCATCATCCTAACCGTCAGCCTGGCCTTTAACCTGCGGTGATGGCTGCCCAGTGCTCTCAGACCCACCAGCTCCTGAGGAGGCAGCTATTATCATCCCTTTTAGTTCAAGAATCTTTCTCCTCGACCCCAAAAGCAGAGATGAGCCTTCTGGTTTTGACTGGGATTCTGGGCTGGGTGGGGTGGGAGGGGGGCTTGTGACCTCTGCCTTTGGGATACCTTCTTTGTTCCTCTGTTGGGAAGGCCTTAGCTTCCTGTTTGTAGAACCCCTCCTGCTCCAGCTGAGCCACTGCCTGTTGGGCTCCTCCTGCCTCAGTTCCTCTGGCATATCAGGTGTCATTCTTGGTCTCAGTGCCCAGTGAGCAGAGGGAAGGGCCTCTGGGCCTACCACACCAGGCAGTGTGGGACCAGAGCTGCTCTGGAGTCTGCCCTTCTGCCATTAGCTCCAACCGAGGGGTCAGGGGTACACTGAGCCGTCTCCAGACATTAGTTGACCCTGCTGAGGCTTTCACCATTGGCCTCTGGCATGATCTAGAGGGGCTGAATGCCACTTACACCTGGTATTTGTCAGAATCTGCACTAGGGGTAGTTTGTGCCCCTCTGCCAGTGCCGGTGTCTTCCAGCCCATGCAGTCCCACTTCCCAGGCCTCCTGCTCCTTGGACTCACCTTCCCCTACAGCTTGGGGCCTGGGTGCCTCCAACCAGGTGGCAAGGTGAGTGGAGCTAATATGCCAGAGTGACCCCCTGTAGACCAAAGTAATGTAAACTTGGCCCAGCCCCAAGGATGGGCCTCATGGTGGCCCCCCAGCATCCACGATGTGTGCCATCAGAGAGCTAGAGGGGGCTGTTTCCGCCCACCAAACCACAGCTCTCCTTCATGTTGTCAAGAAGGGCCCTGTGCTGCCCACTCCCTGCTCCACGGAGTCCTTTGTAGGGTTCCCTGGGTGGGGCAATAAAGAGTTTTGACTCCGAGTGGTGCTGTCATTTTTCTCCCCCTCTGTGGTCCCCTTTCTCCTGTGTGGATCTTCTTGCTGTTGGTGGGTACCTCTGTCCTCTCTCTGGTTGCCAAGGCTATGGTTGAGTCCGCTCTTACTGCCTGGCACTGAGAAATGTCAGTATCCCTCAGGTATGCCTAAGTGACTCTTGGAACCCTTCTTATGCTCCCTGTTGGGAAGAACACGGGTGCAGCATTGAGGGTGGATTGAGTAGGCCTGTGCTTTTACCAGACAGACCAGAGGCGTGGACTTGCACCCTTATCTGAGAGTACATGATTTTGAAAAAAGCCACTTGCCCCTGCCATGTCCCTGTGTCCACATTGCTATCATGCTGAACCCCAGTGCTGTGTCATTGCCCAGTTTAGCACCCCAAATCACTGTGGAGTGTGGTCATTCTCACCTCCAGCCTTGCTACCTCCCACGGCCCCTGTCACTAGCAAAGCTGCATCCATTCTTCAGTGTCCTTTTGCTCCTGTGGTCTTTGGCTTCCACATGTTGAACTTATGACCTTCCGAGGCCTATATCCAAGGCCACCGTGGTGAAGCCGTTCCTGTTCTGCCCTAGTGCCTGTGCCCCTTTAGTTGGAGTAGGAAAGAAGTTTATCTGTGACTCCCCAGAGGTTTCTTAGTGCTCGCCCTGAGGATGTCCTGGCCATCGTCGCAGCTTTACTGTGGTCACATGCCTCCAGCTCCTTCTATACCCTGCAGTGCTTTGGGTACCAAGCTCCAGGGCAAGGCTGAGGTATCCGCTCCTCAATTCTAAGCAGCCCTGCTTTCAAATCATTGTATTTCAGGGGTCCATCTCAGAATTGGTTGGGGGGAAAAGGAAACAATTTCACATAGGACAAACCAAAGCAAAGCAGATGGAAAAGGTTTTAAGGCATGTCTCCCAGCCCAGCAAACATTTAAAATTCCTGGGAAGATGACAGACATAGGTCATAAACACTTCCAACAGTTATTGAGTTCTTACCGCTGGGGCTTTCTGACGTTGGTGCTATCGTCCCCATTTACAGGTGAAATAAACAGGTGAAGTCTTTTGCTGATGGTTACAGAGGTAGGACTTCTAAAACCATGTTTCAAACCTGGCATTATGGCTCCAAAGTATCCTCTCACCTATCTGCCTCAACTGCAGTTGGCACGGAGGTGTGAAAGTGGGGAGAAGCTGCCACCCAAAAGGGTGAAAAAGTACTGGGACAAAGGATCCGAACCATGCCTTAAAACAGTTCTGTGTGTGGGATGGCGGCTATTCCTGTTTATAGAGGAAGAGAACAAGGTTGGTCCTCTGTGTCTGGCCCAAGGTTTTGTGAGAACCACTACAGAGCTAGCGTTTTAACCAACCTCTGCTGGCCTCTGGGCCCCAGGCTCTTGGTACAGAGTTGCCTAGAGACACTCAGCAGCAAAGACACAGAGACTTGTAGGAGGACTGAGCAAGCCCTGGAAGTTGATGGAGGAAGAGCGCCCAGGCTGAGTGGTACAAATACAAATGGAGAGTGAGTGTGTATGTGTAAGAAATGAAGATGGACAGAACCAGGGCATCCTGAAGGGACATGCTGAAGGTGGACTGGACAGGTGATGGTAGTCCAGTAAGGGAGGACAGTCTAGTGGGAAGCATATTTGGACATGAGCCAGAGGATTACCTGGTTGTCTACTGGCACCTGCCAAGACAGGGGAATGACAAACTTGATGTGTTCCACAAAGCCCTCTGGCACCTCTGCAGGGGTTAAATGTGGGTTAAACCAAGGAGGAGGGGGTTGAATGGGCACTGACCTGGACAGTGGGAGGTGGATTGCATTTGGTGACCACCAGTAAGAAGCAGAATACCTGGGGACAGGATGATGCAGGCTATTGACAGATGTGGGACCTTGGAAAATAAGGTGGGGAGGGACCAGACAAACAGGTGAAAATGACAGGTGATATGAGTGTCCAGGAGAAAAGAGAAGAAAGATTTAACAAGTTGGAGAAGAGACCAGGAAATCTAATGCCTTCCAGGGGTGAGCACTGCTGAGAATTGAGAGGGGATATAGGAAAAGACAACCCGAAAAGACCCAGCTAGGAGATTGGAAGAGGTCAGGATGCTGATGGCCGCGCTCCTTCTATTCTGAGGGGCTTCACAGAGGAGGCTCCCACAGCTTGTATCTAATGCATAGTCTAGACACACATAACTAAGACCCTAGCAGGGACATTGACTTTAGTGAAAACTATGAAGAAAGATGATTGCCCCCACTTAACAGATGAGATTAAAAGAGACCCGGGAAAAATATATAATTTTTTTTTCTTCCTTGTTGTGTACCGACTGGCACAGGAGGAGATTGCCCCTTCAATGAAGCATGTGGTAGATTCAAACTGTGTACCTTTGGGATTGTAGTACAGTTACTTGCCACTAGGCCACCAGAGCCCCCTGGGGGGGGAAATTTGACTTGCGGGAATAAATGAAGGCTAGACCTTGAGTCAGGGCTGAAGGACAGAACCCTCAGATGTTGAGACTGTTGACAACAGTCACAAGGAGCTACTTCTCACAATGGGGTTCCCTCCAGAGTCTACTTCCTGCCCCATATTTCCCAGGAGTCTGAGAGATGCCTTCTTATCTTTACACTCAGAAACTGGCCATGGGCCAAGAAGATAAGTCCACCAAGTTGATGATCCTAAAGTATCCTGATTGATCAGGGACATAGAGTCAGCACAGAATGTGGGACTCAAGAAGATTCTCTGGACAGAGCCTGTGTGATGAAAGCTTCATCCTCGGGGAGCTCTGGTGGCCTAGTGGCAAGGAGCTGCAACTACAATCCCAGAGGCACACGGTTCGAATCCACCAGATGCTCTGCTGGGAAAGGAGGGACAGTCTCCCCCTGTACCAGTCAGATCTGATTTGACGGTACACTCACACACAAAAATAAAATTTAAAAAAAAAAAAAAAAGCTTCATCCTCGGCACCAGGAGCCAGGCTTTCACAAACCCAAACCTTGGCAGAGGGCAGAAGTGGTTGCTCTGACGTTGCCAGTACTTGCTGGGACAGGTGTGTAGAAGTGGAGGAACAGTGGTATAGGAGAAGGGGCACCTGGCACCTACTATATGCCAGCTTGGCCAGAACTTCTGTTTCCCTAATAATAGGCTCTTACTACCGCCAGTTTATTTAGAAGGAAATTGCAGCTCAGAAAGTTTAGGAAGCCTACTCCAGGTTGTACAGTGGCAGAGCAGGGACGTTACTCCGCGTGTTCTGACTGACGTCTCTAGACCTTCTAGATCTTTCTCCATTACCTAACTTCCACAGATGGACCCGTGTGAGACTCTCCCTCTGAGATGTACTGTATATTTTCTAATAAAATTATCTTTGCTTTTCACCAAGTGGGCACGGATCACTGACGATTAATTTTATAAAAACACTGCAAATTAAACACACACAAACACACAAAACCCTCTATACCTTCTACTACCCTAGCTGTTAGAAAGTGTTTCTAATTTTGTTTTTAAAACAAGCCCCTATAAGGAACTTAGGAAGTAGGGTTGCACCCTAAAGAAATCAGAACTGCCACTCAAGCAGATATATGCACATCTGTGTTTATTGCTGCTTTCTTTACAATAGCAAAGAGTTGGAAACAACCCAAGTGCCCATCAGCAAACAAATGGGTAGAGAAGCTGTGGTATATTCACACAATGGAATACTATGCCGTACTGAAAAATAAAGAACTTATGAAATATACAAAATGGGTGATCCTAGAGGACGTTATGCTGAGTGAAATAGTCACAAACGGACAGATACTGTATAATGCCACTGTTATAAAACAGGACTGACATTGAGTTTTGGGGGAACTAAAAAAAGTGGGGATAAAGTACACTGCATTGAAACAGATGAGGGAGAGAACTGTTTAAAAGGGATATAGGATTAGGTATTATTTGCATGACAAGAGTCCAGAATAAGAGCTACATAGTAAAGTGGACTGGAGGAGGGGGGATTGTATAACATTTTTTTTTCAAAGAGAAAAGAGGACTAGGCAGGGAGGAAAAGGTGTAGCAATGAATAAATAGAAATCCAAGTTCTCTATAAATTTTCATGAAAATCTCTAAAAAATCAAAGTAGGGCTGCTACCCATTTCACAGATGGGATGATCAAAGCTGTAAGAGATTAGGCTACTAAGTGAGTCCACAGAGGAACGGATGCATAACCACTGCTCACCTCTGCTTTCTAAGGGCTGGAGTGACACATGCCCCTGCAAGCCACGAATCCAGGCCCGGTTTTGCATCAGACCCATCTGAGAAGGTGTTTCCTCCTCGGTGGGGCAGCTGCTCGGCTGGGCGGCCTGTTGAGTCAGCCTTAGTCCCTCCAGGCTCTTCTCCAGTCCCAGAAACTTGGCGGCTATAGGAGCCTGGGTCGCCCTTTGAAGGCGTCCCCCATATTGGACCCCTCCAGGTAACACAACTTGGGGCTAGGATCCCCTGCCAGCGTCCCAAGGGGCAGATTCTGCTGCCTGGTGTTCTGAGCACCTTTTGAGACTTTGGGGTGGAGGAGGTGGGAATGTCTGGGACTACCGGACAGATGACTGACAGATTCTATCCACCGGTGGGTCTATCCTGTAGGGTTGACCCAGAGTAGAGGGGACTAGACATTTGATTCGGCTCCTGGAGAGACAGGGAACTGTGGGGAAGGGGTGTACTGGGGTCCCCATCCTCAGATGTCCCCAGCCTGGCCCAGGCAGAAGGGAAAGGACAGGAGCACCACCACCACCCCCACACACACATACACGTCTGATGACCCCCAACCCCCCTCCACACTTATACACACCTGGTGACCCCAATGCAGCAGCCCTGAGAAACATGACACAACATAATACACAGTAATCTCATGTAACACAGGAGGAAATACAGAATGCACACAACCACATGATACTGTCACCCAGAGAGGCACAGCCACATTACAGGAGTCAACCATGCTCATCATACTGTGACAAAACACATGGACACACGCTGGTGATAACAAAATTCACACAAAAATACACAACCAATAGGACACAGGCCTGTAACACCTAGAGTCACACAACAGTGTGACAGATGCAAACAGGGATTCACAAGGGAGTTCCAAACTCTGTGTGTGTGAGAGTGTGTGTGTGTGTGTGTGTGTGTGTGTGTGTGTGTGTGTTGTACCAGCACTATGCCTAAAAGAGAGTAGCTGTTTGGAAAAATACAGTGACTGTTGAACAGAGATGTAGATGAGCAGAAGCCGCATTAGCCTCAGTGAGGGTGGGGCTTGTAGGCCTCAGCTCAGTGGGCCACTGACTCAGCCTGAAGGGTGCTGAGCACAGGAGGAGGTGGTGACAGTGAACACAATCCAGGACCTGCCATCCTTCTAAGCCACTGTCCCCATCTCAGCCCTGCATGGGTGTCCAGGCCTGTGAGGGAGGGAGGAGAGGTGGGGAGCAGGGGGGAGACTCAGACCAAGCCCCTGCTGTGCTCATGGCCAAGTAACTATGATACCTTCACAGCTTTCAATTGCTGGGACCCCAGCTGAGTCATGGGCCAGGGGCAGGACCAGTGGCTCTGGGCTGGAGAGCAAGTAAGGCAGGGAGGGGAACCCCTGAGGTGGAGGCCTCAGAGAGTGGGTGTGGTGGTTACCTCTGGGTGGGAGGGGGGAGGAAGTTAGGGGTGTAGGCTGGAGAGGAGGTTGCCTCAGACAGGAAGGCCACATGGGCTAGGGCAGAGAAGAGATGAAGGGTGGAGGGAGGGGACCCAGGCTAGAAGGTTCTCAAGGCCCAGGGGTGGGAGGTGGGGGGTGTGGGGGTGGTACGTGGGTGGGTGTTGGTGTCTGTATTCCCTGCAAATGGACAGGATTCTTTAGGATTTCTGCATTTCATTAACCAAACTTTTACCAACCACCTGTTACCTTATGTTGATGCAAGTACTGGCTTTAGGGGTGATGGCTCATTCCTATCTTGAAGAAGGGCATAACCTAGGTGATGGTGGTGTGATAGGTGAATATGTACATGGCTGTGTGATTTGTGTACATCTGAAGAATGTATTTGTCCAGGGTTAAGAAGGTATGTGTGTGTGTGTGTATCTCTTGATTGGAGCTTATGTGTATGTTTACATAGCTGTGTCTGTGAGAAATGGGCCTGTGTGTCCATGTCCCAGCTGGTATTTGTGTCTTTATGCATATGTATACAGTGTGCGAGTGATTTCATGCTCTATTTCTGAGGTTCCTTATATGTTCCTGCTGAGGGTGTGTGCATGAGTTTTCCTGAGACAGTAGATACACATGTCTGTGGGTGCCTGTCTTTCCACTTGACTCTAGCCATATCAGGGTGGTGCCCTGCTGACCCGATTCCTGGTCTACCCAGGTAGCTTCGTGTGTCCACATGGACTGCAGCTGATGCCCTCAAGGGGCCACCCATCTCAAGAGGGGCTCTGACCCCTGTCCTACTTATCCATGGCACATGGGCCTGAACCTGAGACTGATAGGCTGCTTGACCTCAGCTTCCTGACAGAAGAGGAGCAGAAAGCCATTGCTGAAGTCCTGAAGCGAGATGCCCACCTGCGACAGCTGGAAGAGGGGCGGGTCAGGTGAGGGGAGGCAGACCCTTCCTCAGAGGAGCACAAGAAAGAGCTCAGTCACTGGGAGGCTTGGGCGGCCCCCTCAAGCCCTCTACCAACAAATTACTTATCAGATGGCCACGGGGTCCTTATCTTTACCCTTTGGTTCTCTCTGCCTTTGGTCACCTCAAACTTAAATTTCTTGGGGTAGCTGCAGCAGCTCACCTGCTTCAAGGCTTAAACCCTCTGGTCTGCTTCACTGTGCTGTAGTTAAAGCTCCTCACATCAGCCCTCATTATTGTTAATGTTGTTGCCATCAAATCAGTTTTGATTCATAGAGACCTTTTAAGTAACATCTAAACATTGCCCTATCCTACTCCGTCCTCACAATCTCTGACATGCTTAAATTCACAGAGCACTGTGTCAATCTATCTTGTTGAAGTCCTACCCTTGGTATTCCCTGAAATTCCTCGGCATGTCCATAGGGCTTCCCTAGTTGATGCCTGCCAGCAATTCTACCTCATTTTTCACCAGTAACCCCCTGCTCCTAACATATGCTACTGTGTATACAAAGCATTCTGCTGCTGGGGGGAGGGGGAACAAAATATTATACTATGGCTGCTCTAAGCCCTCCCACCCCTGAACACCTTCACATCCAAGCTGCTGCTCGTCCTGGAAGAGCACGGTGGCAGAGGAGCATGGGAGTTCTGCCTAGGGTTTAGGGCCTTTATCTGACCTCCTCAAGCACAGTCTCTTCATCTATGAAATGCAGCTAAAGACTCTTACCTTATAAAATTAAGAGGGATTATGCAAGTGTGACTCCTACTGCTCATTTAATGAACAGTAATTGTTATCCTTCTCTATGTGGAGAATTCTAATTTGTCCTTCAAGAAGCAACTCAAACACGGCCTCTTCTGGAAAGCCCTCTTAGATTCCAACAGGTAGCACTGGCCACTCTCACATACATCACAGCACCTCTAACACGCTAATTTATTTGTCTGTTCTGTACTTGGTCTCCCCACAAGTTTGATAACCTTCAAAACAAGGATAAATTCTATTTGTTTGTGTGTCTCTAGCCCTGGTACAGGGCCTGGCACAGTGTAGATGGCAGAAATGTTGGTAAGTGGTAACAATTATACCATGCTTCCCCAACCCCACCTCCAGCAAGCTCCGGGCCTCACTGGTAGACCCTGGACAGCTGAAGATCCTGACGGGTGAATGGTTCCAGGAAGCACGCTCCCAAAGGCATCACCATGCTCACTTTGGCTCTGACCTCATCCGTGCCTCTATCCGCTGGAAGAAGAGCTCCCGGGGTGAGAGCAGAGTCCTGGGGCAGGGCTGTTGCATGCATGTGGAAGGGTAAGAAGATCCCTGGGTTCTGGTCCTGGTTGCCTCTTGTACTGGCTTGTCTTTGGGTGGGCACCACCCCTGCATGAGCTTGCACTAGGTAGATGAGTTCTTCCAAGGACCGCTCCTGTAAGTAACATCCAGCCTGCCTGAGAGCAGGGCTTCACAGAACTTCTCACCTTGGCCCAGGTGACCAGACTCTGGGTGGTGATGGGGAAGCTGAGGTTTCTGGGAAAGAGAAAGAAGAGGAGCTAGAGTGCAGGTGAGGAGTCATTGTGAGGAGAGGGTGGAAGGTGCCTACTGGTCACCTGGGTTCCTTTCCCTGAAAATGACCTCCTCCCACTTCCAGGCTCCCCATAGATGAGGTTGAGAGGCTCAACGAGGCTGAGGTAATGAATAATGGACTGACTTAATGAATTAATGTAGAGTCCCTGGTGTGGAGCTGGGGAAATAGCCCCAGGCCAGGAAGTAGGAAACCTAGGATGCACCCCTTGATTCTTGGCCCCAGTCGTCTGGAGAAAGCATCCCCCTTTTGTGAAACAGTGGTGTGGATCTGGCCTCTAAGGGAATTCTGAATCTAGTTATTGAGGGTGAAGTGAGAACTCAGTTACCCTCTCAGTGGGGCCCAGGGAGGCAGGCCAGGCAGGCCCTAACTCGTGCAGGTGTGTGAGTACAGGCGGAGCTGGTCCCACTACCAGCCCTGCCCTGAGGGCTGAGATGGGGGAGAAGTCTGGAGTCTCTGGGCCCTGAGCGCATGGTGACCCTGGATCTTTTCCTCACTACTTCCATTTGTAACTTCTAACCCTTGCTTCCTGCAGAGGCTTGACTCTCCCTCACCATCTGCCCCTCAAAAAGCAGATTACGAGGAGGAACCTCAGGCTCTGGAAGGTGAGTAGGAGGGTGTGGTGACGAGGGCACCAAGAGTTGAGATTGCAGGCAGTTCGAAGTGACCCCAACCACCCGTATTCAGCTTTCTCCTTCTGCTTTGGGGAAGCCCCGTGTGGTCCCCACAGGCCACCTCCAGGCAGCTTTGGGGTCTGAATCTGGAGATCACAAGGGTTACAAACTAGGCGCTCCAAATGTGTTCAGGGGCGGGCAGGTATGGGGGGGGTCCCTCTGCTCTACAAGCCAGCGCTTGGCCCCAGTCGTCTGCCCAGGGGGCGCGCAGGTCCCCACGGAGGAAGCGGAGCCGGAGCCGGAGCCAGCGCAGCGCTCGCGTGGAGAGGAGCAGGCGCCCCCGCCAGCCCAGGTAGGCGGGAGCGGCCGGCGGCTGCTCGCAAGACCCGGGGCGGACGTCAGGGCCGGGAGTGCCCCTGCCCCGGGTTCAGAGCCGTCGGGCCTCAGCGCCGTCGGGAAGGGACAGGAAAGAGGGAACGCCAGGGTAATTTTCTCCTTTCCCCAGATCGAGGTGGCGTCTGAGACCTTGGAGAACGGGGAGGAGACCCCAGGGCCCGGCCCCTCAATCAACCGCATGCTCAGCAGCAGTTCCTCAGTGTCCAGCCTCAACTCCTCCACGGTGAGGTGGTAGGCGTGGGAGGAGGTGGGTGCCCCCTCCCCACACCCCTGCGCCTAGCCCCTTTCCTTGCCTGGCCTCCGCCCCCACGCATGCCGACACCTAGCTTTACCCCTACCCCTCCGCCGGGCGCTCGCATCGACCTCGAGGTGAGCGCCGCCCCGCCCTGGCCTGCCTGCCCCGCCCGCAGCTGAGCGGCAGCCTGCTGAGCCTGTCCGCGGAGCCAGAGGGGGGCGCCCTGCAGGTGCGCGGCTCCCTGCACTTTGCGCTGCGCTACGAGCCGGGCGCCACCGAGCTGCGCGTGCACGTGATCCAGTGCCAGGGCCTGGCCGCCGCGCGGCGCCGCCGCTCAGACCCGTGAGTTCCAGCCCCCAGGCGTCCAAGGAGACGCCTATCCCTCTGGGAGCGAGGGCATAGCGTTCACAGCCAACTCTACCGCTTACCTTTCCCCGGCCTTAGCTTCCTCCTATTTAAAATAATAACAAGAGAGTACCTATGTGGTTGGAGGCTGGAGATTACATCCATCACTTGGTCTGGCACAATAGGAAGCTGTGTGGTGGCTGAGGAAGCCCCTGGGGCAGGGGCAGGGGATTGGGAGCTAATAGGGCCCTTTCTTATCTCTGGACCTCTTCCTTCACTCCCCCAGCTATGTCAAAAGCTACCTCCTGCCAGATAAGCAGAGCAAGCGCAAGACAGCAGTGAAGAAACGGAATCTGAATCCGATCTTCAACGAAACTCTCCGAGTAAGACTACAACAGGGCAACCCCACATTAATGAGCAGGATGCCTCTTCCAGCGTGGAGCTGAGTGGCAGGAACAGTCACATAACGTTATTACCTGTTGCTCCAATTGTGGTGGGCGTGGAGATAGTCCAGGGCCCCCTTGAACACCCTTGATGGAATTCCATCTCTCAAGGATTATGGTAGAACCAGCCTCAGTCAACACTCGATCAGCACAGAAGATCGGGCCCTCCATTAACGCTTATCTCCTGTCCCCAGTACTCCATCCCGAAGGCTGAGCTCCGAGGCCGAGTACTGAGCCTGTCCGTGTGGCACCGGGAAAGCCTGGGTCGTAACATCTTTCTGGGCGAAGTCGAAGTGCCTCTGGATACGTGGGACTGGGACTCTGAGGCTACCTGGCTCCCCCTGCAGTCCCGGGTGAGGCAGCCAGGGCTGTGTGAGGGGACCTGTAGCACAGATCTAACCCCATAAAGCTCCCCCACCTCCCCGTCCCCTGCCCTAAGCCTTTCTCAGACTGCCTGCAACAGAACCTCCACTGGCCTGGCAATATTATGGCCCATCTGAAGGTCTGGCCCTACATGACCTCTTCCTGAGGGCTTTGCAGATCCTTCCTGAACCAAGGTGTTGCTAGGTGCCATCGAGTGGATCCAATGAACGACATATCTCAACCTTGACCCATCCTGCACTATCCTCACACTCTGCTGTGCTTAACCCATCACGTTGAGGGTTTTCCTCTTTTCCCCTAGCCTTCACTTTTCCAAGCATGATGTCCTTTCCCGAATACTAACCCCTCCTCTAACGTGCGTGCACAAAGTATGGGAGACGAAATCTCAACATACTTGCCTGTAAGGAGCAACCTGGCTGCACTTCTGTGACAGATCTGTTCATGTACCAGTCCTTGGTACATTAATTCAATGTCCTGCGCTTACAGTTGCTCTCTGGAGACTCCACCCCTTTTATAGGCATTGACCCGCCCCCTGACTAGTAAACCTCCCGCAGGTCCCGCCCTCCCCAGACGAGCTCCCAAGCCGAGGGCTGCTCTCTGTATCGGTTAAGTACGTTCCAGCTGGCTCTGAGGGTGAGTGACAGACCCTAGAGACACGAGGCTGGTGGTCCCTGGGAGGCTGAAGACTCCTATCCCTTAGGTATGTCGTTAGGAGCCTGGGGCCTGAGCAGAATGTCTCCGCAGGCACTGGACAACCCCCGAGTGGGGAGCTGCACTTTTGGGTGAAAGATGCTCAGGACCTCGTGCCTCTTCGCCAGGGATCCCTGGATACGTACATACAATGGTGAGAGGCCACCGAGACCTCCATGCTGCTTCTCTGTTCCATGTTCTCTTGCAGTGAAGCTTCCTGCCTCAGACAAATTCCTAGCCAACCTCAGATCCCCACTCTGGGCTTCAACTATAGAGCAAAGGACTTTAGCCTAGAGTCAGGAATATTTAGGATACCTTGAGAAGTATTCCAGTGTGACTGGCACCTAGAGAACTTGTCAGAGTACCGGGTGACTATAGAAGAGTGGAGATATGGTGGGGCTTGGTCTTGAACTTGTCACATGCTTTCAAGAAGTGTAGGTGTGCCTCAGATCCCTAATGTCAGAAAGTAAAATTGAGGTAGGCTAATCAGGTTCTGAGTTCCTGTCCTGGTTGGGAACAATATTTTATTTTGCAGATAGGAATCCAAGATTCTAGAAAGTTTGGAAATTACCTTTTTAGATCACCAGATAGCCAGTGAAGGTCCCTGAGCCAGTAAGTAGCAGATTTCTCATTTCAGAAGCAATACTCTTGTGTCCTTTGCATAAGAGTTGAAATTAAAGTCAAGACATCCAAAAGGAGCCTTGCTTTTTGTTTCAAGAGATGGCCAAGGTCACTTCTCAAGAGTCAGGGGACATGGACATTTGAGGGGAGATGGAGAGAGCTTAGTGGCCCTGTGGAGTATGAGATGGCCACATGATGTCAAATTCTGCCCCAACAGCTCTGTGCTGCCCGATGACAGCCGAGCCAGCCGCCAGCGGACCAGGGTGGTACGCCGCAGCCTCAGCCCTGTGTTCAACCACACCATGGTTTACGATGGCTTCGGGCCTGCTGACCTGCGCCAGGCCTGCGCTGAACTCTCCCTGTGGGACCATGGGGCTCTGACCAGCCGCCAACTAGGGGGCATACGCCTTAGCCTAGGCACTGGTGAGTAAGGCAGGGCCCTAAGAGAAACCAGTGATGGGCAGCAGGGACTCACAGAGGCCTTGGACACTCCTCTGGCCTTTCTAGACCTTTGGTGTCCACTAGAAACAGGAAGTGACTAGGCATGTAATCTAAGACCAAATAGGTGTTTGAGACCTCAGGTAGTTAATGGAATGTTCCCTCTGCCCTGGCCCACCCACATCCAGGCAGCAGCTACGGGCTCCAGGTGCCTTGGATGGACTCCACCCCTGAGGAGAAGCAGCTGTGGCAGACACTTCTGGAGCAGCCGTGTGAATGGGTGGATGGCCTGCTGCCCCTCAGGACAAACCTGGCTCCCAGGACGTAGCTGTCCCAGGAGTTCCACTACACCCCTCCTTGGGCTTCCAATCTCAGGGCTTGCCCTTCAGCTAAATTCAATAAAGTCTGTTCTAAGGGCATCAAGGGACTGATTATCTGTTGAGGAGAGGGAGAAAGATGACAAGATGTAAGGGCCAGAGAAGTGAGGGAAGCTTGGGACAAATGACAGAACTTCAGACTCAGACACGAATTCCTCAGCAGCCCAGCTCCAGCATACTCCCCAGACACCCCTATACATATGTTACCAAAGCAAGGGTAGACAGATGTGTTGTTTAATAGTACATGTGGCAGTGCTTAGTGTGCAGGGTGTGCCATTGTGGTCAGTTTCCTCCACTGGAGTTAGCCGTGAGTCCCACCAGCCATCTTCCCATTGCTCCTTGATCCTGGGGCAGGTGTATTAGAAGCGAGCTGTGTCTTCTGTATTAATCCATCCTTGTGTCTGGCCTGCTGTCTCTGTTGCCCTCACTCAGCCTCCTGGAAGCTAGGGGTATCCGGCATGGCTTCTGCCCGTTGCTCCAAGATAGATCTCCAGATTCGACACACCATCCCTCCCCTAGGGTTAACAGGCTCAATGTGGCTCTGCCAGAAGAAGGCCCTTTCTGCCCAATGCCCTCTCTTGTCCCAGGAAGCCCTGTAGTTCCTAGGAAGGACCCGATCAGACCTATAGTTGGGGGTTAAGATCTAGCCAGAATGAAGCCAGTTTTGTGAATCAGCCCCAGCGGGTACAGGACATACTTGATGTGGGTGTAGATGAGATCATCCCGAGTGGCACAGGTGAGCAGAGCGTGGAGGGTGAAGTTGTGGTTCAGCAGCTGCTTATAGACCAAAAAAATCCAAAGATAGGGAGAAATACACGCAGAGAAAGATGTGTGCAGAGACCCAGATCTCTATCAGTCCTTGTACTGTCAACATGTTGGTGCAGATCAGACCCCTTCCTGGGCCTCAGTTTTTCCCTTGAGTACAGTGAGAGGGTTATACTAAGTGCTCTCCTCATACAGAGATTCTCTACTTAGGAAGGAGAAAATGAGAAAAAAAGATGGACAGAAATCCAAGTCCTTGGTTGGTGGGATTGTCAGAGATAGCCAGCACCTTCTCCCTCACCACCCTCTGCCTCACCGTCTGGATGGTGCCAGGATCCACACTCAGCTCCTGCAGCCACCGCACCAGGCCCTGGTCAGCTGGAAAGCCATGATCAAGAAGTCGGGTGGTGAGCCTCGGGCTTACCTGCCCGGAGCCGCCTCACACCCACCACTCATGTTCTCCAGCCAGGCCATACTCACCTGGGTGCTGGGAGGCCGGTGCCAGAGTCCTGGCTTCTCCTTCCACCCGCTGGAGAGCCTGCTGCATCAGGGCCTGGCACTCCTGTTCCTTCTCTGCCAGGACAGCACGAAGCCTGTTGGAGGATAAGAAGGAGAGTAGAATACAGTGGAGGCGGAGCCAGCAAGGGGCTAAGGGCGATTTCTAGGCGTTTACCTATTGGTCTCTGCCCGCAAAAGGCCCAGCTGCACCATCAGAGGCGGGGGTCCCTGTTCAGGCTCCTTTATGTGTGGGCTTCCCTGAGCAGTGGTCTCCTGTTGATGGACTTGAGCCTCCTTTTCTTTACTTGCTTCTTCTGACAGCGGGGAGACAACCTCCTCCACCTCTGCTAATCCGAGTGGGTTGAGCTCAGGTAGGACAAGAACACCCATTTGGGGCCCCAGAGACTCTATTAGGGGACTTGACCTAGCTTTACACTGAGCGGGGTCAGGAAGAAACCCTTAGGCCACACGCCCCTGATGTGGCTGGGCCCGGAGTCCATGCCCTCTTCCGACCCCATTCCTCGTTTGTCACGCCCCTAAAGGGGTCACGCCCTTGCAGGCGGGCAGGTAGGGGCGCCTCTCCCCGCTTACCCGGTCCTAGCACAGACAGGGCTGCCCGCACAGCGCGGCTAAGCAGCGAGTCCAGCACGAACATCCAGTGTGGGCGGATCTGGCGCTGGCGGAGGATCTGCTTCACCTGGAGGAGGGAAGAAGGGCGCGGCTAGGCAGGCTCGGCTTCAAATAGGGATAGGGCTAAATTAGAAAGGCCTAGAAGGACTCGTCTGTGGGAAGGGGAGTGGGCAGGCTCAGGACATAACCAAGAAGGAACTGGGAAGGTAGGCTTAGGTAGCTGTTTTCATTTTTACGGAAGAGACATGGAGTCCTGGAAACTAAAACTTTCCAGGCACATTCCCAGGCACAGGAAGTTCAGTACCCCTTTACAGGGCAGTCCTAAGTGTGTGAAAAATTGTCAGCGAAAAACTGGAAGACCTTAAAGGGGATGGATTGATTCTGGCTGAAACAATGGACTGAAGCAGAGAAAGGCTTGTGAAGATGAACGTGGCCAGGTAGTGTTTAGTTCTGCTGTAATACAGAAGCTATGAGTTTAGACTTACTTGATGGCACTTAAAAACAACCTGTTATACTGGAAAGCTCTGCACACCCATGTTTATTGCTGCGTTGTTCATGATAGAGAAGAGATGGAATCAACCCATATGCCCATCGACAAACGAATGGATAAAGAAGCTGTAGTATATTCACACAATGGAATATTATGCAGCACTGAAAAACAGGGAACTCATGATGGAATATTATACATAATGGGTGATCCTGGAGGACATGATGCAGAGTGAAATATCTCAATACAAAAGGACAAATACTGCATAATGCCACTGTTATGAAACAGGACTGACATCAGGTTGGGGGGGAAACTAAGGAAAGGGGATAAATAATGTACATTGCATTGAAACAGATGAGGAATAGAACTGCTTAAAACGAATATATGATTGGGTATTGTTTGCATGACAACAGTCCAGAATAAGAGCTGCATAGTAAAGCGGGTTGGGGAGGGGGATTGCACAACAATGAAATTTTTTTTTTCAAAGACAAACGTGAACTGGGTGGGGTGGGCAGGGAGGAAAATGTGCAACAATGAATGAATGGAAATCCAATTTCTCTATACACTTTAATTAAAATCTCAATTAAAATAAACCCCAAAACTGGGAAAGCTCTCCTCACCGCATCCGGGAAGGCAAAGAGTGGTCCCTGAAGAAGCACAGGTTCAAGGCCCTGGGCCTTCAGCTGCCCTTGCAGCGCCCGTAGATCCTGGGCCAACTGTCGGCGGTTGGGAGTGTGGATATGAGCTCCAAGGCAGCGCAGGAGCTGCTCCACCTGATTTCCGTCAAGCCGAGGACCCTGAGAAGGAAGAAAGAGGTTCTCAAAGAGGGTTCCCATCAGAGAGCCAAGAGGCACGTTGGGGGCAAGGCAGACGGGGGAGTCCTTCCCAGGCTCGACCACCAGGGGGCGGCAGGGCGGGCCTCCGCACCTGTTCCTGCTCCAAGCTCAGACCGGCCACCAGCACAGCCAGCTCCTGCCGGACCACTGCAGCCAGCATGGCCCGGCGCTGGCTCTCTTGGTGTAGCAGACTCAGCCTCGAACTCTCCTCGGGGGACGCGGGTTCCTCAGCCCCGGGCTCGTCTGGCACCCTGAGTGCATTAGAGAGTGGCTGACGGATGGCGGGGCAGCAATGCTACCTCCACTACAGGGTTTGAAAACAGGTTCTTGTACTTTTAAAGCCTACTTCACACAGGGATAAGAGAGAAAGCAGGAACTGAGGGGGCACAGTGAATGAAAGAGCATCTGAGAGAGGTCCCCGTAGGCACCACAGGCCATCACTGCAAGCATCCAATGTGCTCCAGTCCTCAAGGAGGGATTTTTCATGGAGGCAAAACCAGGTTAATAGAACCCTCCCAGAATCCTAGGTTCTCACCGGAGTTGGCTGGTTCCCCCATAACTGAGGCAGCGCTTTGGGGGGCTGGGAGGGTGTTGAGAAGGTGCCTGAGGGCACGGGAATGTCTGGGACTGGGTGGTCGAGTCAGCTGAGGGAGTGGGACTGGCTGAAGGGACATCTGAGGGAGAACAAGGCTGTCAGCCTAAGCCAGCCTCTAAGCCCTGTAGCCCCACAGCCCCCCTGCCCTCACTCCAGTGCACTCACTGCCTCCACCCTTGTGGCACCTGAGGGCCTTGAAGCATGGCGAGGGGAGCCAGGGCTGCGGCTCCTCTTCCCAGGCTGTAGGAAAGGATCCCCCAGCAGAGCCTGGGCACTGGCTCGGAGGCGGGGATCTGGCTCAAAAGTTCGGAGGAGGAAGGCTTGGGCCTCAGCTGACAGAGAACTGGGCATTGGTGGATGCACCTTGTACATGCCCACCTGGGGGAGTCAGGGCAAACAAGGTAAAGCTTAGAGAGGTTTAGGGCTCAGTCTGGTTCCACTCCCTACTCTTCTGTGGGCTGATTCTCACCTGAAACATGGCAGCCTGAGGACTTCCTAGCTCATGGAAGGGTGGACGACCCGTGGCCATCTCAATCACCGTGCAGCCCAATGACCAGATGTCAGCTGCCTTTCCATACCCTCGGGGGCCTTGGTCAATGATCTCTGGGGCCATATACTGTAGGGTTCCTAGGACAGGACCAGGAACAACACTGTTCATCTAAGCTTATTCACTGCGGGGGGCTCTGGGGCATGCACCCTAATACCATCATCCAAAATAGATTACCCCTCCTGTCCTGGTCATCACACATCTGAATTTAATCACATGCGCTGGGCTCTATCACCTGCCAAGGCTTGCATCACTCATCCTATGTTCCTTCACAGTCATTGGCTCTGTCACTCACATTAGGTAGGGTCCCTGAGCTCTAACATCCATTTAGCCTCTGACACCCAACTTCTCAGCCTACATCAATACCCTGGACTCAACCAAGCTCTAAGTCTGGGTTCCAACAGCCCCCTCCATGGCTCAGTCACCTGCCCTGGGTTTCATTCTCCCTCAGGACCCTAAAGCCATGCTCAGAAGAAACCCCATTCTCCAAAAGGCCCCAAGAGTTCTTCTGCCCCAGCCTGCATTCCCATATCTCCCCTTGTTACCGGTGAAGGTCTCAGTGCAGGGTGTGATGCCTGCCAGTCGCTTGGATGTGCCAAAGTCAGAAATCTTGAGCAGCCCACTGAAGGTGTTAATCAGCACATTGTCCCCCTAAGCAGAGTGGACATTGTGCTTAGTGGCCAGTAGGCTGGGCCCCTAAAACCAGAACTGGAACACCTTCTCCCCCCCACCCCCCTGCCCCGAGACACTGTCTCCTGGAGTCCAGCCTGGTCCTGCTTCTATCAACCTCCTTCCTCTGCCATATACATGCCTCTCTGGGAGCTGATACATGGTCTGACTTCATATATCACCTTCTCCTCTTAGTAAACTACTGGTGAACTCGCCACCCTTTACAAAGAGTCTGTCCAGTTATTCTAAACTGCCAGCCTCTATGTGGGGTCATATTCTATCCCTACCCTACTCCCAGCACCAGCAGGACAACATGGGCCGACCACAGGGCTTACTTTGATATCCCGGTGCACAATGTGATTGTCGTGCAGGTAACTGAGTCCCTGCAAGATCTGGCGGGTGTAAAAACTGATGGTGCTCTCATTGTCTTTCAAGGGTCCCCACACTGATCGCAGCAAGGAAGATAGGCTGCCTGGAGAGACACACACACTCCAGGTTCATCATTGGTACCCACAGGCACACACCCAGGCCAGGCACAGGCTCTATTCATTCTCTAACCCCACTCTTTCAGTTCATTGCCAGCTGGGGCTCTCATTTCCTTTCAGGGTGGTCTCACTAGAGACCCTAGAGACACCTAGGGTGGTCTTACTCCCAAAGTAGAGGGGGTACCTCCAGGCACTTCCTCCATGAAGATCTTGAGGTAGCCACCTTGGCTGGCTGAGCCCAGATAGCGCACTATGTTCTTGTGTCGCAGGCGTTTGTGCAGCGCAATCTCTTCATGCAGGGGCTGAGAGAACCTGGAGGAGGGGGGGTGTTAGAAGATGCGGAGATGAACATATCAGCCCCGCCAAGGAAAGGACGAAACTCTCCATCCTGTGCCGTTCTCACAATTTCTGCTGTGCTTCTACCCATTGCTACAGTCACTGTCAATTTGTCTCGTAAAAATAAGACAAGCTTGGGCAGAGATGTTCACCCTCCCCCAGCACAGCCAGACCACTTCCCCAGGTACCACACACCCACAACTCCTTCCCCACTGGTCACTCCTAGATCACAGGCTGCTTTGGGCCAAAGCGCCGCCCACACAGGCCCTGCAGGTGCCTCTGCATGTAGCTCCACCCACACCACCCTCTGCCCACGTGGCCCCGCCCACCTGACCGGCCCACGCGGACCCTCACTTGTCCCCAGCCCTGAGGGTGGGTCCACGTGTCACACCTGCTGTCCCGCTCAGGGATCTCCTTGATGGCAATGCGTACTCGCGTGTGTCGTTCACGGCCTGCGTACACCACCCCATAGGTGCCCTTACCCAGAACAAGCCGTTCACCGGTCTCTGAATACTCATAGTCAAACTGCGGGGGCATGGGGTTCGGGGTGAGATGGGGGTCAGCAGAGTCACCCGAACTTCCCCCTCCTCAGGCCCATTTTCTCACCTCCAGCACCTCCCGCACACCATCTGTCTCTTCCGTAGGTGCCATAGAATCTGGTTTTGTCACCGAGGCCTGGATCAGGTCACAGAACCTGGGGTTGGGAGAGGTTAATGGAAGGGGCACTGTGGCAGAGCACTGTCCTTCCCACGCTGGCGGCACCTAGGGGGCCTTGTCCCTTTCTTTCCCACACCTGCCCAGAGGTAACCTGGGTAACGCACCACTGGCAGTGCGCCACGCTGGGGAAACACAGCTGGACGTCCTGAGCTGGGGGCAGTGTGTAGAGGAAGCAGCAGCGCTCATCCTTCTTGGAGGTGCTGGGAAGGGAGGAAGACCTCAGTGAGCCCCAGAGGATTGGCAGTTCCAGGCCCACCTCCACCCTGACACCTCACAGTCCCCACCTCTCACCTAATCCCACAAATGGAGGTGACTGGCAAAGTCCAGCACGAGGGTCCATCCTGTGGGAAGATAGGGAGTCTGAAAGGGTCCTGGGGGCCTGAAGATGGAAAGATGCTCAGTGATGAGTGGGCAGCAATTCCACCTGGGTCTCAGGCTCCAGCAAGCTGAGAGTTACAGCGTTCACCGGGTCCGCGCCACACACCTCCAGCCTCGCAGGTAGCAGCACCTTGTTAAGCTCCAGAACCAGCACCTGTAACCAGAAAGGGAAAGGGGTCAGAATGGGCCAGGCCCTCTGCCTGGTCCCCTTCCTCAACAAACCTCACCAGGCACTGGTCCTCTTTCAGAGAGGTAGGCTTGAATGGCTGGCAGGTCTGCAGCAGGAAATGGAGCCAGAAGTGGGCACGACGTGGGGGCCCTCCAAGAGGCTCTGGAGTGGGCCTGAAGTGCTGGTAGAGCAGGAAGGTTTCCATCACCGACACCAGATACCTGCAAACACAGCCTTGTCCTCAGCTCAGCCGAGGCACCCACTAGCGCTCCCAGGAAGGGTAGTCTGGCTTGGATAGAGCCAGAATGTGGTGACTGAGTGTCCTGAGACACTGGCGTTAAAGGGACCAGGCCATTAGGTCAGAGTTCAGGCTAAAATGCTAGTGGACATGGGTCCAGGGCATGTTGACAGCTAAGACGTACCATATTGGGGCATTGAGTTTGTATAGCTGTTCCGAAGCCAGTGCCACCTGGGAGGGGTCATTAGCAAGGATCTGGGCACCCAGATAGAAGCCTACGTCCCAGTAATACTGCATCTTCTCCACACAGCCTTTGCGGGCCAGCAGGCGGCCCAGCTTCATGCCTGGGGGAAGGGACACAGCCCCAGTGAGAATAGGTGTAGGTGTGGATAAGCCTCGGTGTGAGCCACACCATTCCTGTGGGCAGGAGTGTGGGCATGAACGTAGACATGGATGGAAACTCTCAGGCAGACAGAACTCAGGTGAGAGTCTGGTCAGAGTACTTATGGAAACAGGTATGGGCTGAAGGATAGGTTAGCACAGGACAAGTGTAAAGACCCAGGTGTGGGTACAGATCGGGATGAGCTCAGTCCCAAGCACATTCTCCCTTCCTGTTCTTTTCCTAGGCCCCTCTGAGCTCTGGCTGACAGGGGCACAGGGGAACCAGGGTCAGGACCCACCGATGAGCCAGAGCTCCTCAGAGTCCTCAAAGCACTGCCCGGCGGCAATGAGGAGCACAGCTGCATTGATGCCTGAGTGGAGGCTGGGCTCTACCTCGAAGGCCTTTCGGTACCTGGCAGGAGGGAAGGGCATGGCTGGACTGATGCCCACAAGCCCCTGTCTCTTTACCTCAGCTTAGCCCTCTATCCAATTGCTTGTGCCCCTTACCAGTGATAGGCCTGCTCCCGGTGGCTAGCGTCCTGGAAGCCAGAGCTGAAGAACATGTCTTTGTAGACACGCCCACACATGCAGTACAGGTCAGGTGCCACGGAGCCCTCACACCGCACCAGTGGCAGCAGCACAGCCAGGGCCTTCTCACGGTCTCCAGGCCTGTTCCTCCTGGGGGCAAGGGAAGATGGGCTGGGAAGCCCCCTAATGCCCCTGCTCCACTCTGTCCAAGCACCCCCAGATTCAGTACATCAAGGACTCTTCCAGAGACTTATGATAATCACCCAGAATGTCAGTGACCCTGGTCAGCCCTGACATCTCTAAGGTGGTGAAACGAGATAGAAGTGATTCCTCACTTCACAGTAACGACTCTGAGTAGCAGGGCCTTTGGACAGCTGTGCTAACTCTAGGCAATGACCCTCCTCTCTAGGGCATCTCACTCTCTAGGGCATCAGTGACCCAGAACAACAGAGACCTGTTGATATCAGTGGCCCAAGTCAGCAATTTCCCTGAACTGTGATCCCAGTGATCTCACACAGCAGACTCAGATCCCAGTGACCCCCGTGTGGCAACGGCTCAGTCCTACTCACCGGTTGAGGGCAAATGTGTAGTGGAAGCAGACATTGTGCTGCTCCGCCACATCACAGGTGGGCAAAGCCTGCAGGGTCTCTACCAGCTCAATGATTGCCGAGTAGTCCTGAATGAGGAGTCAGGAAGCACGAGCATGAAGACCTCTGGGGGCCCCTTGGATTTTGGGCCCCCATGCCTCACTTTTCCACCCACCTCCTATACACCACCAGACAGCAGATGCCACACTTAGAGCATCCACTGAGTGCCCCAACCTTATGACTGCCCTGGGTGGCAGTGCCACCATCAGCTCCCATGACAAATGAGGACACTCAGGCTCAAAGATTAGAATGTTTGCTCAAAGCCACCACTAAGCAAGTGGCAAAGCCACGAGCTGAAGGGAGGGTCAGTGCGACATCAAATGCCTGCCTGTGCCTGGCCACTGCTCCATTCCCACCCCCACCTCACTGGGCACCACGCACCTGCACGTCTCGGTAGGACAGCAGCAGGTTCATGATGATGTCAGGGCTGAGCAGCTCCACGCTGTCCAGTCTCCGCTGAAGCCGCGCTAACTCCTGCCGGAGCTGCTGCCCACTGAAGCGCTCCCGTGCCTGCCGGATGTCCTGTCGGATGGTCTCTCTAAAGTAGCCACTAGTACCCAGGGCAGGAGGAAGAGAAGAGAGAGTGATGTAGCCTAAAATTCAGGCCCAGTCCCTGGTGTTCTCATCAACCTCATCCCACTGCCCCTACCCTGTGGGCCTCCCATTACCAAGAGTCTGTGGGTGTGGTTTCCAGCAGGTAGGCTAGTCGGCTCACCAGCGGAGTAAGAAGGGCCTCAGTGCCCACCCCAGCCTGCACCAGCCCATCAGCTAGGCCCTTCAGGAGACCAATGTCACCACAAAGCACCCGATTAGTGGCTGTCACCACATAAGGGATCAGTGTGTAACTGCCAACGCAGTCCTGGGGGAAGAGGTCAGCACAGGGTTAGGGAGGGGCAGCGAAACATCAGAGGTCAGGAGCCATGGGGACTGGAAGACAGGGACGGGGTACATGTCATGAAGGGAAGTAACAGGGAATAGAGGGTTTCATTAGAAACCAGGAGCATTAGGGAAGTCAAAGGGACTGAAGAGGACAAAAAGTATAATGGAAGTCATAGGTCACCTTGGAGGCCAAAGGGCACACGAAGGGAGGGGTGGGTTCTGCTCACCGAATTCTTCTGGAATACATCCTCCTGTAGGAGACAGAGAATCAGATACTGGTGTTTGGGGAAAGTCCCACCCCAGCCTCCCCCTGCCAGCCATCTGGCCACCTACCCGCAGGGCCTGCAGGTCAGGGAGGTCAGCCTGAGAGCAGAGCAGCACATTGTTGGTCATGCTGAAGCTCTCCCGCACTCCAAGGTGGTAGAAGAGGGAGGGCTGTGCCAGGGAGCTGTTCACCTCCAGCACCACCACATCTGCGGGCATAGGATGGAGAGCCTGCAGTTGAGCAGAGCTCCCTGACTCAGCCTGCCGATCGTGGGACTCCAGAAGGGTGCAAAGCTTCTCTGGGCCTCAGTTTCTCCCTTTTAGGGCCCCCCTGCTTCTTCCATGGGGTCGCTAGGCTCAGATTCCACTCTTGGTAATGGGTTTGGCATTTTTGTTCTGTTTTCTGATTTTTACACAGAACTAGTATCAGTGGTGCTCCCTTGGCCACTGTTTCCTTGAAGAGGGTGGGGACCCAGGCTTGCCCCTCATCCCACTGTTGAGAGCCCTGGGCACCCACAGTTAGGGCAGCTATACACCAGTCCAGTCCCTGTGCCAGGCTTATGACCACAGTGGTCCTGTTTCCTGAGCTCACAATCTGGGCTCTTGAATGGTCTCGAAGTTAGCAGAGTGGGTACACAAGGGTATGCCTGTGTTTATGTATATGACTATGTCTGGTCCTCTGTGTGTGACAGTGTCTGTGAACATGTCTGTGACTCGAGTGTCCTCGAGGTGGAGACAGCATTCATTTATGGGCAAACAATTTCATTTCATGGGCATCCTCTCACGGTTCCCGGATTCTAGGATAAACAAGTATCCGGAGGAGGGTGGGGCGTCCAGGTTGATAGGAGGGAGGGGTGATCGTGGGGGAATAGCCTCTCCGCCCCGCCCTGCCTGCCCTTCCCTGGCCCTGCGGATAGGACTGCTTACTCTCCCCACATAACCTAAGCTCTGTGGCTCTGTTCCAGGTAACCTTAGGTTGCTCTGTTTCCCAGTTTGTCTCTCTAGCCCAATCCCTGAACCATAGCAATCATATGCTAAACCTGTTGCTGTCAACTGCCCCGTAGGGTTTCCAAGGCTATAAATCTTCACGGAAGCAGACATCCCCCCTTGGAATAATGGGGTCAAACTGTCCACCTTTAGGTTAGCAGTCGACTACTTGAACCATTGAGCCACCAGGGCCTTTAATCATACGTATGTTCTTTTTCTCTCATTGTCAGTGGAATCGGAACCCACTCACAGTAGACCCAGCGGGTTCCCTGAGATGAGACTATCCAGAAGGAGACAGCACGGGGGTGGGGGCTGTGGAGATTGCCCATCTTTCTCCTGCGGAGCTGTTGGTGCATTTGAACCAGAGAGATATGGCCTATGAATTAGCAGCACAACCACCTTTGGGAATTTCTTGCCTTTGAATTGTGCTGTTGGAGAAGACTGAGTATACCATGGACTGCCAAAAAACCAAACAAGTCTATCTCGGAAGAAGTGCAGCCAAGGTGCTCATTAGGGGCAAAAATGGGGAAACGTCCTCTCACATACTTGGACATATGGTCAGGAGGGGCCAGCCTGCGGAAAAAGACATTGTGCTGGGAAAGGTGAAGGGTTCAAGAAAAAGAGAAAGATCCTCAGGATGGATTGACACAGTGATTTGTAACAATGGACAGAGGATATCACAGACCTCAGGATAGGATCTGTTCTGATCTGTTGTTTATAGGGTCGCTAATCAGGCCTTCTGTTCATAGCTTCGCTAAAAGTCGTCGTGCTCCACTCAAGGCAATCAACAACAGTCATGACTAGATGACAACTTCCTAAGGACTACGCCTACCGCCTACAGGACCTCTGACAACTCCAGCCTCCAAATCTGTCTACTCTCCCAAGTCCAAAAAGCCGCCTCCAGCATCTGCCCGCGATCAGTGCAAGATAGGAAACTAATTTTTCCAGCCCCGCCCCGCTCCTGGCCCCACCTCAATCCTAGCCCAGCTCTGGGATGTTTAAACACCAACCCTGAATACGGGAACCCGGACTGGATCAGCTCAATCCCATCTCGAACCTGGACCGCTCTAAACTAAGCCAGCACTGCGGTGGAGTCGGCCCGACTCAGGAGACCCTCTATCGATGACCTTCCATCGGGTTTCCGAGGTTATTAATCTTTATGGAAGGAGACTGCCCATCTTTCTTCCAAATTGGATTCGTACCACCGAACTTTGCCTTAGTAGCCCCACTCCTTGGAGGCGCTTCAGTTTCCTTAAATTTTACTTTTAATTATGGTCAACTCAGCTTTCCCAGCTTTTGCTCCTTTAAACCTTGTCAACTTGCGCCCATTTGGGTCCCTCTCGCGCGTCGGCCGGCCCCACCCCCCAGGCGGCCCCGCCCCCTATGAAGCCCCGCCCCCGACGCGCACTCAGCACTCACCCGCGTTATAGAAAGCGTCCAGGGCGTCTGTGTCTCCCAGCGCCAGCGTCCCGAAGGGCAGGCTGCGCAGCTGTGGCGCCGGCCGCGGTCCTTGGAGCTGCGCACAGGCCTCGCGCAGGCAGAGCAGGGGAAGCGGCTCTGCCTCGGTTCCCGCTTCGGTCTCCGCCCCGGGCTGCGGCTCCCGGGTCAGCACGTAGACCACGCTGAGCGGCCGGCTCCCGGCGCTGCCCCGGCAGGGCGGCGCTGCGGGCGGGCGGCCCCGGCTCACCGCCTCGGCCAGTGGGTCCTGCCAGCAGCTCCCGGCACACTCCAGGGCCCCTGACCGTGAGCTTGGCCCCGCCATGCGGGGACGCTCAGGTGCGGGGCGAAGGGCGCTGGGAACCGGGGCAGGGCTGGAGCCAGAGTCAGAGAATCCAGTGTTCTTGGGATCGCAAATCCAGCCGGGATTTGGGACTGTTCTGCAGTATCTGGGGATCCAGAGTTGGGTCGAAGTCTTGTTCCGAGAGCCTGGAGTCAGGACAGAATCCGGGCTTGGATTTATTTGTAAAGTCCTGCGGGTCTGAAATCAGGAAGCGGTCCCAGCAATATGCAGTATCTGCGAATCCGTGGCTCAGGGTCACGAGGGAATCCCAAGGATCAGTCAGTCTGCGTCGGGCACCCCGACTCCAAAGGAGAGCTGCCTCCGTCGCTCACCCTAGTCCTCACATGTGGGCCCGGCCCAGCCCTTCCCGACCGGGCAACTGGGAAAGCTCCACCCTCAGCCCAGGGGCAGCGCCGCTCCCTTGCGTGCGGCCCAGGACTCTTCCCTCCCTCTTCTCCCGCCTGAACCTCTGGCCGCTTCCGGAACAGCCTGTGTCCTTGTGCACGTTATCCTCTGTAGACTGATCACAGCAGGCACTATGTGCCCAGGTCAGTGGTCAGGAAGAAGTGCGAGTCGTAGGCCCTCTGTGCAGGAATCTGAATGAATGAGTCCACAAACACCAAAGTGTGCATATCAGTAAACAGTGAGTGTTCTTCTGGATCCAGGACAGATTGGACTGAGAGAGGCCTGCTCCTAGGGTTGCCTGCAGATTCTCAGGGAGGGAAGATGATCACGAGCTCAAGGCTGAGGTATGAGGCAGTGGTCAGACATATCTCCTCTTTCCAACCTTTTTAACTAACTGCTGTCCCTTGAATAAGGTTCATTATAATGGACCCCCAGAACTAATGATCAGACAGACTCAGGATTATGAGATTTATTAGGATTACGGTTTAGCATCAGAAATGAGGCAGGATACAGTTTTTTTGCTCAGGACAGCCTCTTCTCAGCTGTGCCTGGAGGCAAGCCTCCCTCTGGCTCTCAGCAGCCTTGCCTCTGCTCTGCTTGGATACTTATTACAAAGATCTTTAGCTCTGCCAGTAAGTGTCTGGAGACACCATATTCCACCAGTTAAGCCTTGGCTGTAAAGTGTTCAGCCATTAAGGGGCACAACCACCCATTGTAACCATCTCCATGGACTGCCAAGCCCACCACATCTTCTTGTGCCCATTGCCTAATTCAGCTTTCTCTGCTGCCATTTCTTTGCCTCTGCTTGCCATCCCCAGAGTTACAGCTCTCCCTTGATTCTTGGGTCTAGAAGGTTCTCAGTGCAAAGTCCCTGAGTCCAAAAGATTTGCTCTACTTGTGATTCTTTCTTGGTGATAGTGAGGCCACCCCTCTGCTCTAGGGTTGGTTCTCTTTTAAATTTGGTGGGATGGCAAAACTGAACAGTCTGCTCCTTAAGGTTCCATGAACCTAATATGCATGGCGTCATCTAAGGTACTCATGCACCTCATTTGCACTATTAGCAAACTCACCAGTCCTGTGGGTGCCCTAAAAGCACCTTATTTGTACAGTCTCACTAATCATTAGATGATAGTTACAAAACTACAGCCAAAAAAGGCCATATGAATGCAATCTATGCCCCACACCCACTGTTAACATTTCCCCCCTATGATTATGGTTTTTACTAGGAAGTTAATAGGTTATAATTCAGGTTGGAAACAGGATACAATTCTTCAGTCAGGACAGCGTCTCAGGCATGCTCACAGGCCCTTTAAGTTCCAGCTTTGAGCCTTTAGGCCAGAGTTACAACACTCTCTTAGTCCTGCTAATTATGGCACCTTTCCACCCCTGCCAACCCCAACCCTGTCCTATGACAAGCTTGGGCGAAGGCCCCTGCAGACCTAGATCAGTTTTGTCTCATGTCATTTCTCAGTTGACCTGAAGGAGAACCCAGAAATCCCAGCCCTTTCCATCTCTAAATCCTCAAGAATCTAACTTTCCAGTATGAAATAGCCAGCAGTTACTGAGGCAACAATCTGGTATAAACCTCAGTAGACCATGAAGTTAGGAACTGAGAACTTGGAGAGGTTGCATAACTTGTATCAAGACCCCTCAGCTACATGACAGAGCAGGTTTCAAACCCAGGATCACTTGTGAAGACAGATAACAGAAACCTATTTTTCTTCCACTTACTAGATCGTAACTTTGAACAAAACAACTGTTTGCATATTAATTAATGAGCTACTGCATTATGCAGATGATACAACCCTGCTTGCTGAACCTGAGGAGGACCTGAAATGCTTGCTGCAGAGGGTCAAGGGCTGCAGCCTTCAGTATGGATTGAAGCTCAATGTAAAGAAGACAAAGATTCTCACCACTGGACCAATTGGCAGCCTCAGGATGGATGGTGAAGAGATTGAGATTGTTAACACCTTTAGTCCGCTTGGCTCCATGGTCAACACTCTTGTCAGCAGTAGCCAGGAAATCAAAAAACGTATTGTAATGGGAAAGTCTGCTGTTAGGGACCTCTCCAGGGTACTGAAGAGCAATGGTGTCGCTCTGGAGACTACAGTGTGTCTGATACAGGCTATGGCCTTTGCAATCACTTGTTATGCATCAGAGAGTTGGACAATGACTAGGGAGGATAGAAGGAGAATTGATGCCTTTGAGCTGTGGTGCTGGAGAAGAATATTGAATGTACCATGGACTGCTAAGAAAACAAACAGATTCATCCTGGAGAGGGTTAAACCAGGCTGCTTCTTGGAGGCAAGGATTCTGGGGCTTCCTCTGACATAGTTTGGACATGTTGTAAGGAGGATGAGGGCCTTGGAGAGGGTGGAGGGACAGCGCAGGAGGGGAAGACCCTCTATGAGGTGGATTGATTCAGTGACTGGAGTAATTGGGATGGGTATGTCAGGCAGTGTGATTGGCAGAGGATAGAGCAGGGTTTAGGGCTGCTGTACATGGGGTCGCTAGGAGTCGCAAGCGACTCTGACGGCACATAACAGCAACTGTTTCACTGTCCTGTTGCCACGTGGGAGAAAAATAGATCTTCCTTGATTCCACCTTAGATTCAGACCAACTCCAAATAGGACCAGCAAAAAGTAGGTGAGACTGTGGCTTATGACAGAGGCTAGGATGAAGAAGGGAAGACTTAGAAGGGACTAGCACCTAGGCGACAGAGAGGGTGCAAAGTTGTGCAATTCTTGCCACAAAACTACTCACTTGCTGGACCTCAGAAACACAGAGGAACTGTCAGGGGATGTGTAAATCTACTCTATGCCTTGGGTTTCTCTGGCCTTGACTTGCACAACTCCAGCAAGAGAGCCTTGTTTCCTTAAGAAGTCATCCTTTCCACCTTCCTGATTGAAAGGAAAGCTTTTCTTGAATGGAGCAAAAATCTATGTCCCTGTTCTGCCTCCTTAGATTTCTTTTTCTCAGTAACTGGAGGGGCTTGCAAGCCAGAAAAGGGTTAAGATGATCTTATTTTTAAATGTGGATAGGGCTCTCATGCAGTCAGCACAGAGGAGAAGTGGCTGAGGGTCCGGAAGCTGGACAGAAGAGATAAGGGTGCTAGCTGCCAGAGTGCCCTAGCAAAGCATCCTCTGAATCCTGCAGTAGGGGTGGAGCCTGGGGCCCAGTTGCTGCCACATGAGTGGGCTGTGGCCTTAGACACTGTGTAGCGCCCACTGAGGTGGGCTCTGTAGCAGGCTCCACACCACCAGGTGGAACTGGTGCACTGGTCCACAACTGCTGCACAGCTATCGCTGTTTGTATTACAGTCAATGTCAGGTGGTGAAGGGCTTCTCACTGTGAAAGTTCAGAGTGCCTTGGCAGGGAGGGCACTGGAAGCATCTTGACCAGCATTGTGCCTGGTACCCTTGGAGATATTATCTCACCAAAGCCCACAGCAACAATGGGCTTGAAATTGTCAAGTCCTGTGAGAAAGCAGCAAAGCCACGAGGCCACAATGCTTTTCCAAAGTCTCCTAGTAAGTCACAGACAGGGTGTCTGGGACACAAACTCAGGACTGTGGCTCCAAAACCAGATTTTCCCCTCTGCTTTGTCCCCACTCATAATCTCTGGCTTCCCTTTAGTATCTCTGTTCCCTTCTAGTTAACAGCAGCTGAGCAACTCTGCCAGGGAGAGTGGGGAAGTCACCTCCTGGGTGCCAGGGGCTCCCTCAAGGCACCACTCCGTACCACTTCCCTCTTTCAAATCTCTCTTCAACAGTCAGAGTTACTTCAAAAAGCTTTCCCTGGTTCCTCTTCTGAAGCCAGGAACAAGAACACTCAACAGAACCTCCAGTGGCATTCACAGGTCCCTCCTTGCCTGTTTAATTGGGGAAGCTTTGGTGGGGAAGGGACTTGCCCAAGGACACACAATTGATCAAGTGGCAGAACTGATTACAAAATGTCTCTTTTGCTTCCAGGGCTCAAGTTTTCCACTTGGGTTCTCAGGCAGATGGACCTCCAAAACAGCAGGAACAGCAGAGAGAATGGGGTCATAGCCAATCTATCTTGCCACAAGAGGGAAGATATCAGCTTACGTGAGGGTCATTCTGGAGTGTGGATGTCCTCCATTGCTCCCTAGGAACGCTCCACTCAGGCCAGAGTCAGCAGTAGGTGGGGCATTTTTCTTCCTTGGTCCCCGACAGAATGGGCTCTGTCCCTGCCAGTTTTAACCAGGATGGAGTCAAATGGGTCCTGACCTCCAGGGCCACCAATCTCTCCAGGACTCAATTCACTCAGTATCTCCTTGCCTTTGTGCTCTGGGTCATGCTATGCCTCCCATTCTTCTATACAAAGGCCCAACTCTAACGCTGTCTCCTTGTCAGCAGTGTCAATATGACCACTCACAAGAATTCAAACCCATTGCAATCAAGTTGGAGCAAACTCATAGCTGATCCTCCAGCAGCTTTCCAAGGCCACATGAAAGGAGATTCCTCCCCTGGAGCCACTATCTGATCCAGACCCCCAAACAGGCACCGCGTTTGGTTAGCAATGCAGCTCACTATAGACTATGTTACCGGAGCTCCTGGAAAGGAAAAAACTACAGAAATCTTCACAGTCACTATTTGTTGGCCACCCAAGTGCACCCCACATGACACGCTGGATGCAGCTTGTCATCACATGCAATTCTTATAGAGTCTACTCAGAGACCTTATGATTGAGTCTGGGTTATAGGTCAGGTACAAAGCAGGAACTAATAGATACTTGTTCAAATGAATGAGCAAAGAGGGGGAAGCGAAGGCCTAAGAGAAGGGACATGACTTGTGACAGCCTTTATGCCCAGAAAAACAGATATTTCTTCCTCAAGACTCCATGCTTTATGCCCAATCCTGAGACTCTCAGAGAGCCCCTTTCAGGGCCCATGAAACAGCTATTAATATGGGCCACCTAGATGGGCAGCCCATGAAGGGACCAGGTGAGAGGCTGAAGGCCGAGGTCTTCATGTGAGGAGCAAGGGCCTTAGCAGGAGAGGAGGGGAGGAAGGACTCATTCATTCACTCACTCATCCACTCACTCACTCAGCAAATGCTCCCTCAGGACCCTCTCCATGCCAAGCCCAGTACTGAGCGGGAGGGGAAGGAGCTGAGGTATAGGGGCATCAGGGGAGGTGGAAGAGTAACTTGCTCAGCCAGATAATGTACGAGCCAGACGTCCTGAAACTCTGCAGCCCGCTTCTAGGAATCTGTCCTCCTCAAACACTTCCACAGTTGTGCCCAGAACAGACCAACCTGCTCGACCTGCCCACCTAGACAATTCGTAATCAGCAGTGTGCCCCAACCACCACCACCAGGACCCAGTAAATTATAACCCTAGGGCAATCAGAGGACAAATACTATTTCTAATGAGAGGATAAAGTTGCAGAGTAAAATACTACGTAGACTATGAGTCCAGTTAGTATTACAAAAGAGTTAAGTGTGTGTAAGTCCTTTCTGGGTGCCATTGCGTTGATCTTGACTCAAAGGATAACAGAGCAGAACTGCTCCAAAGGGTTTTTCTTGATTGTAAACTTTATGGAAGTAGATTGCCAAGTGTTCCTCCTGTGGGGTGTTTGAATCACCAACCTTTTGATTAGCTTTCAACAGTTTACACCACCAGGATGCCTTTAATGTGTGTACACATGTTGTAATTTCACAAAAAAAAAAAAAAACAACAACCAAAACTGTCATATTCTCTGAAATCAAATTGGGGAAAAAAAAATCCTCATTGCTGTTGAGTCAAAACCGACTGAGAGCACTGACCCTCCAGTAGGTTTTCAGAGGCTGTAAATCACATCAGAGGAGACTGCCCATCTTTCTCTCATGGGGTCGCAGGTGGATCCAAACCACCAGAGAGACACAGCCTTTCAGTTGCAGAGCAAATCCCTACGGATTAGGCCACCAGGGCTCCCTACCAGTTGCCATCAATTCTGACATGTCAGTAGAACTCCACAGGGTTTTCAGTCACTGACTTTTCAGCAGTAGATCACCAGGCTTCTCTTCTGAAGTGTCTCTGGGTGGGCTTGAACCTCTAACCTTTTGGTTAGCAGCAGAAAGAGTTAACAATTTACCACTCAAGAAATTCAACATATGCTGTGTTAACTAGTATTTCTAGGGATTGGGACCAGGGGACAAATTTTCATTCTTTATATAGGCTTCGTATCTCTTTTTTTATAAACATGTTCTTTCCTATAAGCATTTACAATTTTGAAAGTAACACACCTAGTAAAGAAGAAGATAAGGAGAAGAAACTGCTTGAAGGAGAAGGCAGGGAGAGTGATCAGGCAGGAGGACCGGCACGTACAGCGGCTTAGAGGCAAGGCAGGCTGGGGGACGAGTACAACCAAGTAGATGCAGGAGAACGCTGCAGAGCCTGATGCCTGAGAGGATGAGAAGGCTTTGTGGAAATGGTTTGGGAGGAGAGTGAAGGAGTTGGACTGGCTGTGTTTGGGATTGTAAATGAGAGTTTGATGTGTGGGCACATGACCTCCACTGTGGGACCAGGGAGTGAACCCCAGAGTCTTTCAGAGCCCCTCCAGAGGCAGCTAAGACCCCTTAGGGAGACTAGAGTGAGAGCAGGAAAAGATGAGGAAGGCTTGACCAGAGGTTACAAAGATGCAAGAGTTGACAGGGTGCCAGGCTGGACATCTCCACGTCCCACTAAAGGGATGCTGTTGGTATCTCCACCTCACAGATGAGAAAACTGAGGCTCAGGGCTGTGAAAGAACTTGCTCGAGTTCACACTAAGTAGATGGTTCCACAAGCTGAATTCTCAATCATTACTGTCTATTCTAACTTCCTAGGACACAGGTTTGAGGCTCATAGCCAGGCTCCAGGCAAGTGCCCAATTGATGGGAGAGGTTGTTAGGGAAGCGGAAAGGATCCTTGGGGCGGTGAGGGGGGAGCGTGGGAGGGGTGGAGATGGTAAGGGTTTTAAACAAAAATTTAGGGAGCTGTAAGAGACTGTGGAGAGGAATGCTACTCATCTTGAAGTCAGAAAAATCTCGATTCAAGATCCAGCCCTGTCCTAGGTAGCTAGCTGTGTGATGCTACACAACTCCTTTTTTTGAAATTTTATTTTATTGTTTTGTTTGTGTGTACCGTCAAATTGGATCTGACTGGTACAGGAGGAGATTGTCCCTCCTTCTCCAGCAGAGCATCTGGTAGATTCAAACTGCGCATCTCTGAGATTGCAATGCAGCTTCTTGACACTAGGCCACCAGAGCTCCCTCACAACTACTTTTCTAAGCATATCATGTGTAATGGACTAGGTGGTAGATATGAATAACAGAGAAGAGGTGAAAATATTTAAAAGTTGACAGTAGGACAAAAAAAAAAAAGCTGACAGCAATGGTCCTAGGGGATTCCTGTTAAGGAGAGGACAATGGCTGTGCTCTCTACCCTATCACATTCCCCTGCAGCCCCAGACACAGGACATGAAGCCAAGCATAGCTCTAGATAGAGTTCCTTTATTTGGAGACAGTGCCCAGGTCAGGTGGATGGGAAAAGCAGGGCACAGAAGTAAGGTGCCAGCCTGGGGGGCCCTGCAGGAGCAACACTTGAAATAGGAGGTTAGAGAGGACACTCTTAGCTGCAGTAGCTGACCCAGGACAGGAAAAGTGTCCAGCATCAGGCATTGAACCTAACAGGGTTGCAGTGACCCCAGGTTCTTCCCACCCCCATGGATCACGAGAGGCAAGGAAGTCAGCCTCTGGATCCTTCTTCCCCTCCATGCAGAGGCCCAGATTCCACAGAGGCCAGACAGAGAGGGTGCTTAGGGAGCTGGCCCGGGCTCAGCCGGCACAACTCCCACCCCAGAGAGCAGGCAGCGGCTGAAAAGCACACACTTTAATGGGGCCACAGTGACCCACCCCACAGCACACACGGCACACAGGGGCTTGACTGCAGCTCCCCTTCCCAGAGGGAAATAAAAATACACACATATCCCTAGCCCCACCCACAGCCATAAGAGCACCGGAGGGCCACGCTTGCCTGGGCATCATCTACTGGTTCTCCTCCCTGCTGGCAGCATGAGGGGCAAAAAAGCACAGGTGAACTCAACTGGGTTTCCAAACACCTGACCCAGACTGCAGCTAGAGTCCTGGTCCCAGCCAACATCTGGCCAAAAGCCCCACAAGTGGGTGAGGGGGAAAGGGGATGGGCTGGGAAGATGGGAATTTTTGTCCTTGAAGCTACCTCTTTGAGAACAGAGTTCCCTGGGAGAATCTATAGTGTAGGGTGGGGGAGTGAGAGCTAGTCAGCTACTCACAGTGTCTGGTAGGTGCCGTCCTTGGCCTTGAGGAAGCGCAGTACAAAGAAGGCCACTGTCTGCACGCTCAGCACTAGCACAACACCGCCAATGAAGCTGGCCCCATCGAAGCCAGGGCTGGGGACTTCAGGTATTAGAGGGTTCCCTGCAGGGGCAGAACAGGGTGGAGGTCACAGAGTCCACTACAGACCAGGAACCCAGCTGCACCTTCATAACCTGCACAGGTCACTTCAATCCTGTCCTCACAATGAGGCCCTTGAACACCAAATTTAGGCCTACACAGATCCTATACGGGTACCCAGATCCTATACGGGCAGTCGGGGAGTGCCCAGCAGGGAAGGGGAGAGCCCTGGCTTCAGGCTTGGCTGACTCTGCTTGGTGGGCCTTAAGCTTCTCCCGCCCTCTCTGAGCCTCCTGTTCACATAGATGCAGCCTCCCTGTTCCACTGGATCAACAGAGTGAGGATGGACCCACCAGCTCAGAGCCCCTTTCAGTTTCGGGTCTAGGGGTTCAGAGCCCAGAGACAGTAAACAGGGTTTCATTTTAGAACTTCTGAGCCTTCACACCAAGGAGTCACCCAACATCAGAGCACTCAGAGAAGAGAAGAGGCCTGGAGTAGGCCAAGGGGACATCTGCGAGCAGGTAATCAGAGGCTAGGGAGCTCTGGTAAGTGGTAAGGGGCTGCGCCAACCCCAAGGGCAGGCAGTCTGAATCCACCAACTGTTCTAAGGGAGAAAGAGTGGTAATCTCCTCCCATGCAATTTACAGCTTCTGAAAACCTGCTATAAGTTGGTTCCAACTCTATGGCACGTAACAACAACAGAGAGTGGATGTCAGAGGGAGAAATTAGGCTCAGGGGCCGGGGGGGCGGGGGGGGGCGGGCAGCGTGCCTAAAGTCATCTCACATTCAGGGCAGAGCTGCATTCACACACCATGTCCCCTGGTCCTCAGAGAGTAGAGTTTGGAGTCACAAAGGTCAGCCTGTGCCTAGGTAGCTCCCAGCTGTGCCATGTGACCCATCGACTCCAGCCAGGGATTAGATTTCAGGCCTTGGGCCTGGTGCCCAGGACAAAGTTGGGGTGGCAGGCAGAAGAGCATCGTGGAACAGTGGACAGTGAGCCAGCTGTGAGATGGGTCCCCTTCCCAGAGGGTATGGTAGTGTGAGGGGGTCTGAGGAGGTGAAGAGCAAAGGGTGGTCTCAGCTGAGATCAGGGAGCTCTAGAGAAAGGCAGTTGAGGATGAGCAGGAAAAGATGAAGAAATGAGCCAGCTGCACAAGGCCGACCTGAGGCTTGAGCCGGAGGGCACTTAGCTATCAATAATTCAGCCTCAAAGATCAAGTTTCTGGCTTTAATTAACCAAGAGCTTCTTCAGCCACCCCTGCCAAGCCTGGTAACCTCCAGACCCTGCGGGGCAGCGAGAACCAAAGGGCTAATCTGCTATGCAGGGAACGTTCTTTGTGACCATGCCCGGAGGTTCCACTAGGTGGTCACTGAGGACCACATCTGATTGGCAGCCTGAGCCACACACCCTCAGTACCAAGGACAGGTCCTGAGCATTTCCCCTGAGTTTCCAGAAAGAAGGGGGAAGGAGAACCAACTATTCTCAATCTCCTTCTGTGTCAGACAATGAACTAAGCACTCCACACCCATCACCTCAGAAGTCTTGAAGCAACTTTCTGGAGTAGGTTTTATTCAACTTGTTTGTTTGCTTAGATCTGAAAGCTGGCACTCAGAGGGAGAAGCTGCGGTCCTGAGGCTACAGGCTATGATAGTGCCTGAACCCAGGTTTCTCAGTTCCTGCATCTCTGGTCTTTTCACTACCCCAATTCTCCCAGGTGGTACCTACCTGTTGTGACTGTCTTCGGTTGATAGGTCGGGTGGTGATGGGCAGCTGAGGAGATAGGGAATCCATAAGAAGGCAGCCTTCCGATTTGTAACTGTCAGAAGACCCCAGGCCAGGCCAGTAGCCTGGCTTCTCCTCCTAGACTCAGGTAAACCCAACATACTATCATCAAGCCTTAGTTTACAAAATTCCTTCCATCAGATGTGCCCTGCCTCCCTCCAATGTTCATTTCTAAAGTCACGTCCTCCAGGAAGTTCCCTCCACCCAGTCACTTTCAAACTTCAAAGCTCTTATTATGCCTCAAATGGAAAGATGTACTATTTGTCCCGGATCTCCCTCCAACTCTACCCACTTACAGATGAGGCAACAGCGCAGAGAGGGGATGGGATTGCTCAGGGAGTCAAAGGCAGAACCAAGAGTGGGGTGTTTCAAAGACATGAGTTACTCTCTAAGAGGGCTGGGTCTTTTCTGAGGGCAAGCTCTGGCTGGATGATGCTTCAGCCGCCACTCTCTGATTTGCAAACCCCTTTACCTGGGCATGCCTCTGAGTGGTTGTAGACAGAGCAACCTTCCTTGATCACATCAATGTGGGCAACGCAGTGTCCTGGGGGAGAAAATGCAGGTAGGGGGATTTAGGAGAGGAGCTAAGAAGGCCTTGGGGCTCAGAGCTGGGACACTCAGTGTGGGGAGGGCCCATCTCCACCCTGTACCTGGCTCCTCAGGCCGACATTGTTCCCACACGCAGCCTGAGAGGTTATGTGCTCTACCTCCCTCCACACAGCGCTCGCAGATCTCCAGTTCTCTGCAGACCCGGTGGACAGCTGGCCAGATGTTCAGGCGGAGCAGGGCACCTCGCCCAAAGCCTCGTGCTCCTTTACCTGGTGGGAGGGCATTCCGTGAAGCGAACAAGAGCAACAACCTGCCCCACATTTCTTGACTTTGATCCCTGTCTGCACACACTCAGGTTCCCACACACAACCTGAAGACTCCAACCTCTCCACACTTGGAACTGCCCCAAGCTCAGGGTTATACACACCCAGAACATCTCCCACATCTCCCTAGACGCCCCCTCCCACCTTTGCATGTGCCTGGGATTCTCAGAAACATCTGGAATCACCTGCTTGATTCACCCTGCCACACATATGAAGTCCCCTAATCCCCCGCACTCCAAAGCTTTCCATCCATCCTTGAGCCCTGACACGTCTGCAAAGTTCTCTTCCCATCTCCCAAGCTCAGGCTGCTTCTGGGTGCCAGGTGGGTAAAGGCTTGCTCTATTTCTCTCTGCCCAGTTCCCCAACCAAACCCGGCCCGCGTTACCAGCCACAGCTAACTGGGCGCACAGCAGGAGGCAGCAGCAGCAGCCACAGATCACAGCCCGCAAGTTACGGGGTCCCGGCGCGGCCATGGACGTGGGGTCTGGGGCCCGCAGAAAACTGGCGTAGCTTGTGCCTTTGCGACTCTGCTCTGCTGAGCGTGTGAGACCCGGGCAACGGGGGCGGGGCCAGGTGGAAGAGGCGGTGTTAAGGGGCGGGGCAGACAAGGAGGCGTGACCAACGGGCGCGGCCAAGTGGAAGAGGCGTCTTTTGGGGCGGTGCCGGGCGCAGCAAGTGTGCGAGAAGACGTCTGGGGCGGGGCTGGGTATGGGCGTGGTCGATGGGGGCGGTCCGGTACTTGAGGCTCGTTTAGGGCGTGGTCTAGTACGGGAGTGTGGTCGATGTGCGGGGCCAGGTGGGTCTCGGCTCGGTGGTCTCAGCAGTGCCTCGTGAAAGTGCTAAAAAATTAAGGACCTGGCTTGTGGGCCAGGTAGAATCTGTGTTCTGTGAAGGACCTGGAAAGAAGGTCAAGGACTTGGGTTTCTCCCAAGAGCAACTCATACCAACTTTGCAAAACAACTGCTCTTGTTCTTGTTTCTTAAGTGAGGAAACTGAGGCTCAAAAAAAGGTGTTAACTGTCAAGGGGAGCTCTGGTGGTCTAGTGGCAAGGAGCTGCAACTACAATCCCAGAGGCACACAGTTCAAATTCACCAGATGCTCTGCCGGGGAAGGAGGGACAATCTCCTCCTGTACCACTCAGATCTGATTTGACAGTACACTCACACAAAATATATAATAAAAAAAATAATTTAAAAAAAGAATATTTATAAAAAAATTTTTAAAAAGGTGTTAACTATCAAAGATCACAGACCGAAAACCTAAATTTGGAGTGCTGTCTCCACCTCGTGGGCTTAATGCCGACGGGCCTTCAGGGTTGCACCCTTTCCACTCAGCTCTGTGTCTTTTCCTGTTCTTTCCAGCTGCAGTCACTTTTCAAGTTCTTTAGCGAGTCCTACCGCCTCGGCTTGCTCTTCTCTCTTCTACCCCTCCTCCACCTCCATTTCTCTTCTCTCCATCCCCACCCCTTATCCTTCACCCTTTTTTTTTTTTTTTTAGAGGCTCAACTATGTCATTTTATTGTTCTTAAGTCCCGGACCAAATTCCATCTACCACTGTGTTGTTTTACAGCTCGGAAGTCCGCATGCCACCCCTTTTTATCACTGGTGGTCCAGAGCAGTTCTGAGTTCTATCCAGCACTCTCTCCTCAGGCCGCATTTTTTACACTGGCCATCAATGTTCATCTAAAAGCCACATCTCCATCCCAATTAAGTCATCCTCGTGCCACACATTTAACTAATTATAACAAACAGCAAACAATTATTGGGCGACTGATTGAAAGGTCAGCTGAATGAATCCATCAATGCTCTGAAAGAGAAAGATGGGCAGTCTCCTCCACTGGAAGATTTACAGCCTTGGAAACCCGATGGAGGGTTGCAATGGATTGGAATCAACTTGACGATGGGTTTTACTATGTGACAGGTACATTCTTTTGCTTTCTGGGTCTCATCTAATGTCCATGAACACCCTCTAGACATGGGTTTTGTCATCCTCAGTGTGCAGACTTGAAAGCTGAAATTGCCTGTCCAGGGACAGTTACAGCCCTGAATGAGCGTCACCCTCCACTGCTGTGCCTCCTGTGGATCTACATGCCTCCTGGGCACCTCCCCCTGAGTGTCTTTCAGGTGTCTGGCCCCTCTTCCTGGACAAGGAGGTCCTGCTGACCCCCCAAGCACCCAACTCAACCAATTCTCACTCCTCCCTATCTCGATCACCAGACTAAAATCCTTCTACTTCTGCTTCTGTTTCCTGGATCCTTCTTCCTCATCCTCCCTCACCTGGCTACACTGCCTCCCAGTGTAAGTGTAGCAGTCACCTGAAACTACGGACTTGAAAAGCCTCTTTCAATTGGCAACTTTTCAACAGTGGCTTGACCTCTGTAACCCTTTAACTTCTGACTCTAGAAGCCTGTCTATCCTGTCTCTGGCTCTTCCCAACACCTTCCTACCTGTAAAAAAAAAAAAAAAAGGACACATTCTCTGCTCTTTCATTTCTTTTTTCTTTATCCTTGCTGTTCTCTCTTCAAGCTTTCTCCTCCACTCCCAAATTTATCCTTCAAGATACCGCTAAAAGGCCACCTCCTGCAGGAAGTCCTCTGTGATTGTCTCAGTGAGGCTAGGTTACTTGTTTAAGTATTTGTAACCCTGTGGCAGATTTAACTCCATCTGCTTTCTGCATTCAAGCCTCTCCCACACTGTAACTTACCTAAATGTCTGTACTGGCCTTTTACTGGACTATTGTTTCTATCCAAACCCCATTTCTATCCACTCTGTTCCCCTAAGTCTTTATTTGTTTTTTTTAAAAAAATTCTTTTCATTATTACATTTTAAAATTAATTGTTACATATTTTCTTCCCCTCGCCACCAACCCATGCTGCAATGCATCCCTTGTTCCAGATTGTTGTCATACATATAATCATATATTAATTTTAAACAGTTCTTCCCTCATCTGTTCTATTGCAGTGTTCATTATCTATCCACTCTTTTCCCATTCCCCACCCCTAGTCCCTTCAATCTGTCCTATTTGATAACGGTGGTGTTATGCAGTATTTGTCCTTTTGTGAGTGAAATATTTCACTCAACATAATGTCCTCCAGTCTCATCCATGTTGTATAATGTTTTATCAGTTCATTGTTATTCAAGTGCTGCGCAGTATTACACTGGGTGAACGTACCATCGTTTTTCTGTCCGTTCATTTGTTGATGGCCACTTGGGTTGCTTCCATCACTTTGCTAATGTGAATAACACAGCAATAAACATGGGTTGTGCATACATCTGTTTGAGTCATCGCTCTGGTTTCTTTATGGTGTATTCCCAGTAGTGAGATTGCTGGATCATCCCTTAAGATTTTAGAAATAGCTTGCCAGGGCTTTCTTCCAGGATGCCACTGGATGGATCTGAACCACCATTTATGTCACCCAAGTATCCTCAGATCATCACTCCTCTGCTTAAACCCTCTAATGACTCCCATAACACTTCTCTACATGACCTATTAGCCCCTCTATGACCTCATCCTTGCCCACTTCTCTGAGCTCAAGTCCTCCTTCTCCCCTTTGCTCACTAGGTTGCAGACTCTCCAGCTTCATCTCTATTCCTCTATCCACCTCTTTCTCTCCTCAGGATGTCTTTGCATTTGCTTTGCACCTCCTTGAAACTCACCTCTCCCTTCTTGGGTGACCAGCTGTATGACCTCTTTACTTAAAAGAGATCTTCAGGGGCTGTCTTTGGTGACCTAGTGGCAAGAAGCTGCACTGCAATCCCAGAGGTGCACAGTTTGAATCCACCAGATACTCTGCTGAAGAAGGAGGGACAATCTCCTTCTGTACCAGTCAGATCCAATTTGACAGCACACACATAAAAAATAACAATAAAAAAATTTTTGAAAGAAGATCTTCAGGTTATTCTACATCACTGTGCCCTTCAGAGCAAGTATCAAATATGCACTTACTCATTTGTGTCTCCCCTATTGTCTACCTCCCTCACTAGGTTGTAAGCTCCAGGAAGGAAGGCAGAAGTTGTTTTTATCTTCTTCCCTAGCCAACACCCTGAATATGGCTGAGGTGGAGCCAAATCTCACTGCTGTCAAGTCTATTCTAATTCATAGTGACCCTCAATCAGGTTTCTGAGGCTGTAAATCTTCATAGGAGGGGACTGGCCATCTTTCTCCCTTGGAATAGATGCAAGATTTGGACCACTGACCTTTGGATTAGTCCAAGTTACACACTCCATCACCAGGGTGACTATGATCAGGGCCAAGTAGTTTTTGTTAAGTAATTATACTGTCCTCTGTTATGACTTTTGTGCACATGTTTGTTGCCCCACTTGACCTGAAAGACCCTCAGAGACTCCCTACTTCATGTCACGTGAAGTGCCTGTGTGTAGATTATCTATCTTGCCCATTAGAATAGAAATTCCAGAAAGGCAGGAGGAATGGTTCATTTTCTATGTCTATTTCCTGTGCCTCTGTGGACTCTATGAAGAGGATTGTGGCATCAGGTTTGGAGGGAGATTCCTCAATAACCTGCATTATGCAGATGATACAATCTTGCTTGCTGAAAGTGAGGAGGACTTGAAACACTTGTTGCAGAAAATCAAGGAATGAAGACTTCAGTATGGATTGAATCTCAATGTCATGAAAACAAAGATTCTTACCACTGGACTGATAGACAACATCATGATGGACGGAAAGGAGATTGAAACTGTCAACAGCTTCATCTTGCTTGGATCCACAATTTACACCCTTGGTAACACCAGTCAGTAAATAAGGAGATGCATTGCAATGGGAAAATCTGCAATTAGGGACCTCTCCAAGTTATTGAGGATTAATGAAGTCGGTTTGAAGACTAAGATGCATCTGATTCAGGCCATAGTCTTTCCAACTACTTGCTATGCATCTGAGAGCTGGACAATGAACAAGGATGACAGGAAAATAATTTACGCCTTTGAGCTGTGGTGTTGGAAAAGAGCACAGAACATCCCATGGATGGCCACAAACAGATATGTCTTGGAGAGGGTGCAGCTGGAGTGGTCTTGGAGGCAACAATGATGAAGTTTCACCTCACATACTTTGAGCACGTTGCTAGAAGAAGGACATGATGCTGGGAAAGGTGGAAGAATGATTCTGGATGTCAGCGAAGAAGAGGAAGACCCTCCACCAGGTGGATTGACACAGTGACTGCTTCAATGGGCTCTCGTGTTTCAGGAAGTGTGAGGATGGCACAGAATAGAACAAAGTTCAGATATTTTGTTCATAGGGTCATTATGAGTCATACTTGACGACACCTACCACCACCACCACCACCACCACCACCATTCCCTGTGCCTAGAAACATACCTGGCAAATAGTATGTGCTCAGTAAATATTTATTAAATGTTTATTTTTCATAAATATTTATTATAAATGCAATAATGTGGCCAGATTATTTCTCTGACCCTGACACCCACCCAAACCCAGGCCCAGAGGAACTAGTAGTGAATACTGACTGAAAGAATGAATTAGGCACTAACCTTTGGGACTCAGACAAGGGTCTGAGGTAGGGAAGTGATCCAAGTACATGTATATATGCACGTGCGCACACACAAAGAATCCCTTTAAAACAAACTAAAACCCAAACCCACTGTTGTTGAATTTATTCCAACATATAGAGAGCTTGCATCAGATTTCTGAGACTGTAAATCTTGAAGGGAAGAGGTTGCCCGCCTTTCTTCTATGGAGCAGCTGGTGGGTTCAAACTGCCGACCTTTCAGTTAGCAGTTCTGCATGTTTCAAACTATGCCACAGAGGCTCCTTTTTTAGAGCCTCAAGGAAAACCCCCTCATTGCCTTCAAACTAGAACCAAGTCATAGCTGACCCTCCAGTGGATTTTGAGAAGGTTTTAACACCTAGAACCTAGACTCAAGGAATTTCCCAGACTCATGAAGACGTGCAGCCAGAATGCTCTTTAGAAGTAAGGATGGTTAGACTTCGTCTCTCACTCTTTGGGCATGATACCTGAAGGGCATCATGCTTGGAAAAGTAGAGGACCAGCATGAAAGAGGAAGATCTTCAAAGAGATGAATTGACACAGTGACTACAACAACGGGAAGAGCAGAGATTGTGAGGATTTTGCGGTATCGGCAGGGTTTTGCTTTGTTGTGTATAAGGTCACGCTGAGCTGGAGTGGACTCCATGGCACCTAATAGTCAAGAGAGGAGGTAACGAAAGCAGGCGCACCTGCAAGTGAGTGTTCACAGCCATCTGGTGGTCATTTCTGGAACTGCAGGTTTTGTCAGCTGCTGCTAAACTTCACCCACAAACCTCCTTCTGGAGTGCTATCTGGGCTAGAATGCAGAGCATGGTTACAAACAGACCTGGATCCAGCTGTTACATCTATCAGGATTTTTTAAAATTCATATTCTTTGGCTCTGATGTAAGAACATTGTCTTTACCTTTGCAGAGTTGGCATAAGAATTGGGCTCTAGTCTGGCACCTGAAAGAGGGGCAAGAATTGGAGAGGGTTATCAGTGATGGGGAAGAATGCCAAGTGGTAGAGGCAGAAGCTAATGGGGAGGAAAGGAGAAAAAGGGCTCTGTTTCCTTTAGAGCGCAGATCTTTGGGGAAGAGAGGCCTGGCTGGCAGTGCTGGCCTCAGGGGTTCCAGGCAGAGGGAAGGGAACAACTGGTTCAAAGGTCCAGGAGCAGGAATAGACAGCTGAGCTTTCAGTGCCAAAGTCCCCTGCACTCCCCTTCCTTTCTTCCCAGCCCCTAGCCACTCACTTTCTGCTTCTGTCACCCCTCAACCTCTCCTGCTTCTGCAACCTCGGTTGCCTCAGTTACTGGTACATCTATGCTTTCTAGGAGCCTCCTCTTGTCAGATATGCAATTGATAATTAATACATAAACAGTGCTGACGAGGTGCCAGGCACCCTCCCAACCAATCCTATGAAACAGTATTCCTAGTTCATAGATACAGAGAGGCTAGTCAAAGGCATACAGTTAGTAAATAGAGAAGTTAGAATTCAAATCTACCCTCTTGATCACCTCCATCCATTAAGTACCCCAAACATGTAGTGCATCATCTCCCCAGCCCTAGATCCAATCCTTTTCCCCCAGTTCCCCATCCCTTGACCTGTCACTATTGACCACTTGCCCTGCACCAAAGCCTCAAACTTGCATGATGGCCTCGGATTATGGGAATGACAATAATGCTGTGATGTGGGAGAAATAGGGCCTGGGATTTGAGTTCCCCTAACCCTAACCTGGTCCTTGAGCCCCACCTCCATCCCACAGGCCTTAATAACTCCAAGGGGGAGGGAAAAGGAGCAGTCAGCCTCTCTCCCCCAGCCCTGGCCACATCTCTCACATTTGGAGAAATCTGCAGGATTCGTTCCCTAGGATTAAGGACAGGCTGTATTGCAGAAGAGAGAACTTTCTTTACTCTTCTCCCAATCCTAAAATGGAGGCTAAGAGGGACTTGCCTTGGGGACTGAGAGCTCAGGTCTGTTGCTTCCAAGTTCTTCCCGGTTCCCTATCTCTCTCTACTTCGGGGAAATGCACCCCCCCACCCCCACTTCCACTCTGGCTTTCCACGTCTTTGAATAAATAATTCAGGTTTTGGAATTTTGCCCAATCCACCCTTCCTGCGATGTGAAGCTGCTATCTATCGGGCTGACATGAGTGACGTCATCAGCTCCTTATCCTCACCCCAGAATCACGAGGATCTGCTTAACAGTAATTTATATACCGGGTCACTGTCGGTGGACCCCTGACCCTGTCCCCCTCTCCCCGGGGCCTATTCATCACAGTCGCCTATTGTCCTCGCTCTAGGACCCCATCACCCTTCTCACTTAGCTTTACTGTTTCAGGACCTCATCACTTCTGGCAGGGCCATGGTGACCTGAAGTCTCTTCACCTGGTCAACCCATCTTCCCCTGCCACCTTGGGATTCCTGAACCCCATCATGCCAGTCACACCGATATCTCATGGTCGCTCTGAGGGCCTCGCTCTCCACCGTCAGCCTCCCACAGTCACCATCCCCCACGGTCTTGTCACCATGTTCATACCGTCACTGCCACCCACCTTCTTGCTCCCTAGTGCTCTTGGCACCGTCACCTCAGGGCCCCACCTTTTTAACAACCCTGTTATCCTCAGTGAGGACGCCCTTTCAGCCCTATCCATCCTGGTCACCAGGTTTCATCAGCCTATCTGTCACCCAAGGGTCCCATCAGCCCACAGCCTATCTGGATTCTCCACTCCCTGCACACATCCCCCACAGCCTCCAGGAGACCTCTCCAAGGTTCGGCCACCGCTGTTCCCCGAAACCCCTGCCCACAGAGGGCGCCGCGTCAAGGACAGCGCGGGCTGATCGGGAGGGGGCGGAGCCGTGGTCACGGTTTCTTTTTATGAATGGGGGAGCGGGAGGTGCGAGGCCTCATTACTATGCCGTGAAACGCGCGTTGCGTCCCAGCGCACGGCGCCCATTGGCCCACCGGGCGCCTGACGTCACCGAGCCGGTGTCGGGGGCGGGGCGGGGTGACTCACGGCACTTCTCCCGCGGCCGCGGGGGCTTCTCGGGGTCCGCACACACCCCGCGCCGTCCCGACCCGAGTGAAGCTTCCCTGCCCCTCCGAGCGGTGAGTAGAGAACCCTGCCTCGGGCACCAGGCGTCGGGGAGGGCACGCGGATGCTGGGGCGCTGGGCTGCAGGAGGCTCCCAGGACCAGGCCAGGGTCGGAGGTCCGGCCGAACTCAGGTTCTGGGTGAGAAGGGGGCCCATGTGCCCAGTTACTGACAGCTGTCAGTTGGGTGACCTGACGGGAGTTGAGCACTCCTGCAGGGACCTGAGGCCTTGGATGGTTATCTGAGGTTGGACCAGCAGGAGGCATCTCAGGGATCCAGGCGTCAGAGCAGGAGGAGGTGTCAGACTTAGGGGTCCAGGCAGGAGGCGGAGTCAGGCCCCAGATCCAGGTGTTTAGAAGGAATGGCCTGACTTTGGAAGTAAGGTCCAGATACCTAGTGGTCCCTAGGGTCCCGGACCTAGTGGTCCGGCCGAGGTATGCCCAGGTGGGCCGCTGACTTCCCAGGTGTTGTTACTTGGGGTGGGGGCTGGCGGAGCATGTCGGCATTCCCTGGGGGCGGAGCCTGGAGCTGACGGCGCTGCCGCTCGGAAGGGCTTTGATGTGCTTCAGAAACAAAGCGTCATCCTTCCCAGGAGGAGGGCGCAAAGCTGCCCTCAGCTTCCGAATGTGCTCCTCTCCCCCAGTTTTGGGGCTTTCCTGCCTTTCCCTGGATCCTTTGGGTTCCTATCCATTTAAGATAGCCCCTCATCTGGTTCTCTGTTCACACACGTGGGAAGGACAGCTGTGAAAGGAGGTTTGGTAGCGGGTCGAAAGAGCATGGGTAAGGAGATTCATAAGGACCTCCTGTCCTAGAAAGGACATCTCTTTCGGGAGCCTAAGGGCTCTGGTGAGAAAACAGATGGAAGAAGCCTAAAGTGTGAATGGGACAAGGACCTACCCATGTCGAAAAGAGACACCCAGCAGGTATCCTAAGGGGCACCACACCCACAAGACCCTGTACCCAGCCCCCAGTCCGACCTGCCACTCATAGGGCCTTTCTTCTGCAGGTGCCATGATGTGGGGTGCAGGCAGCCCCTTGGCCTGGCTTTCTGCTGGCCCAAGCAATGTGAACGTGAGCAGTGTGGGCTCAGCCAAGGGAACCACAGGCTCCGGTGCACCTCTACCCGCACCCAGCGCCTGGGACGTGGTACTGTGTATCTCAGGCACCCTGGTGTCCTGTGAGAACGCACTGGTGGTGGCCATCATCGTGGGCACGCCTGCCTTCCGTGCGCCCATGTTCCTGCTGGTGGGCAGCCTGGCTGTGGCAGACCTGTTGGCAGGCCTGGGCCTAGTCCTGCACTTTGCAGCTGTCTTCTGCATTGGCTCATCAGAGATGAGCCTGGTGCTGGTCGGCATGCTGGCGATGGCCTTCACCGCCAGCATTGGCAGCCTACTGGCCATCACTGTCGACCGCTACCTGTCTTTGTACAATGCCCTCACCTACTACTCGGAGACAACAGTGACTCGGACCTATGTGATGCTGGCCCTAGTGTGGGGGGGTGCAGTGGGCCTGGGGCTGCTGCCAGTGCTGGCCTGGAACTGCCTGGATGCCCCGGCCACATGTGGTGTGGTGCGTCCACTCTCCAAGAACCATCTGGTGGTCTTGGCTGTGGCCTTCTTCATGGTGTTTGGCGTCATGCTGCAGCTCTATGCCCAAATCTGCCGCATCGTCTGCCACCATGCCCAACAGATTGCCCTTCAACGGCACCTGCTGCCCGCTTCCCACTACGTGGCCACCCGCAAAGGCATTGCCACACTGGCCGTAGTGCTTGGCGCCTTTGCTGCCTGTTGGCTGCCCTTCACCGTCTACTGCCTGCTAGGTGACGCCCACTCACCAACCTTCTACACATATCTCACCTTGCTCCCTGCCACCTACAACTCCATGATCAACCCCATCATCTACGCCTTCCGCAACCAGGATGTACAGAAAGTGCTGTGGGCTGTCTGCTGCTGCTGCTCCTCTTCCAAGATGCCCTTCCGCTCCCGCTCGCCTAGTGATGTCTAGGTGCATTCTGGGGACCCTTCGGCCCTGACAACTACAGAATTCCAGAACGTCCTCCAGGGCTCTGTTCTGACCTCCCAACTCACGCCCCCAAGACCCAGCTGGTTCTGGAGTTCTAGGACATTGGGTGTTTCCAGATTCTGTTCGGATCCCTGTGGGGCCCCGTTGGTGCCACTGTTCTAGACTGTTCAGGTGGTCAGGGTTCACTCAGAAGAAAGTCCCACAACTCAGCTGGCTTGGAGATCCAGAATGCTGGGTGTTCTATAGTGCCATTCCAAGTTCCTGATCTTCCCCTTCCCCCAATCTCCCAATGTTGACCTTGACCATGTCACTTTACATTTGTGTTTCTGAGCTAGGAAGTCAGAGAAGTTTGCCACTCAGTTGCCTAGATAACAGAAAGACATATACACACACATATATATACATATGAAGAGAATATCTATTTATAATTTATTTATTTATGAATTTATTTATGAGTGGGAAGGGGAAGAAAGAGACCCACACCTTGAAATCCAGGCCATACCAGGGTACCTTCAATCCCCACACCCCCATTTCTGACCTCAGTTCCTAAAGGGGGGAAAGGGAGAAAGAGAAACCACGTATTTTGTTATTTTTGCTTATTTTTTATTGAAGAGATCATAGAAACCAGAGCCTTCTCTCTGGCCAGCCCCTTGGGTTTGCAGGGGGAACACACCAGCCTCTGGTTTTTTATTTTTTTAAGAAGCCATCACTTGAGCAACCGAGAATTCCTCTGCGCTGGGGCCGGCTGCCCTCTGGTGGCCGTTTGGGGAAACTTCAGCCCGACCAGGCAGCCGGGTACCCCCAATTCCAAGGCAGCCTGGCATCCAGCGCCACAGCCATGGCCTAGGGGCCAGGCCTCATCCTGCGGTGCCCTAGAGGAGGCAGGTGCGAGCCAACACCTGACCCCTCTGCCAACCGGGGTATGGCCCCCAGTGCATCCCCCATTCCTAACCTCGACCTAGCCCTCAATAAAAGATTTTGTGATAAATGTTTCCATATGTGTGTATATTGGGGTGGAAGGGAGTCTGGTGGGAGACAGCCTGGAAAGGGAATGTTAGATCAGATCCGGCGCGGGAGGGGGCTGCTGACCTAGGATGAAGTGTACTGGCAGGTGACCCCTTCAAGGATGCTAATTCCTGATGTAGTGTGGGGATACCTTCTGAGGGGCTTCTACCTGGGGACTGCCTGGCTCCCCTTTGGGGACAGGAACCACCATCATGTTGGATCCTTCTGGAGGTGAGGATGTCCATCGTTTGTCTACATCAGCCAGGTTGGGGCTTTGGAGCGCTCCCCACACTCCATCCTGCAGTGGAGAATGTGTGGTCCTGGTTCTCGTGGAAGCTCAGCACATCTCTGAGCCTCAGTTTCCTTGTGTTAAATGAGAGTGATAATAGCAGTTGTGGATTAAAAATGAGATAGCATATATCAAAGTACTTTCTTTTTATTTTATTTTATTATTTTTGTGTAAGTGTACCATCAAATCAGATCTGACTGGTACAGGAGGAGATTGTCCCTCCTTTCCCGGCAGAGCATCTGGTGGATTCAAACCGTGAGCCTCTGGGATTGTAGTTGCAGCTCCTTGCCACTAGGCCACCAGAGCTCCCCTCAAAGTACTTTCAAGTATATTCCCCAAAGCATGTCAGCATGAAAATTCCCTTAATAATATAATGAAAAACCAGAACAAAACAAACAAACAAAACTACAGTTGCGGTCAATTCCTCTTCATGTGTTTCAGAGCTAAATTACACTCTACCAGGTTTTCAATGGCTGTGACTGACCTTTTGGAAGTAGATCACCAGAACTTCCTTTCAAGGCGTCTCTGGGAGGTTTTGAACTGCCGAACTTCCAATTAACAGCCAAGTGTTTATTATTTATTCCACACTTGTTGTTATTATATGCTATTGAGTCAACTACAATTCACAGAGAACCTATGAACAATGGCTCTGAACTTTGCCCTATCCTGAAACAACCTTATCATCTCTGACACACCTAATCCCATTGCCACCATCACTGTGTCAATCTGTCTCATTTAGGGTCATCCACTCCTGCGCTAACCTTCTACCCTTCCAAGTATAATATCCTTCTCCAAGAACTGGTCCCTATTGGCAACATGCTCAAAGTATGTGAGATGGAGTTTGAAAATCCTTACCCCCACGGAGCAACCTGGTTTCACTCTGTCCAAGACATCTATTTGTTCTCTTGGAAGTCCACAGTATTTTCAGTACTTTCTTCTCCAGGACCACAACTCAAAGGCATCCATGATTCTTCTGTCATCTTTGGTCAATATCCAGCTCTTAGACACATAGTAAGCAGTTGAGAACATAGCCTGGATCAGGTGCACCTTAGTTTCTAGATTGACATGTTGCTCTTTAGCCTGCTGAAGGGGTCCCTGAGGGCAGATTTCCCAAAGCAACTCTTTATTTCCTGACTGCTGGTGTCAAGAGTGCTGTGGATCTGAGCAAGATGAAATTGTTAACAACCTCAATCTTTTTTCCATCTGTCATGATCCTGCCAATTGGCTTGGTGGTGAGGATCTTTGTTTTCTTGATGCTGAGCTTCAATCCATATTGAAGGTGACAGTCCTTGACCTTCTTGCAGCAAACACTCCAAGTCCTCCTCAGTTTCAGCAAGCAAGGTTATGTCATCTGCATAACGCAGGTTGTTGTTGAGTCTTCCTCCAATCCTGATGCCACATTCTTCTTCATAAAGTACAGCTCTTGAATGATCTGTTGAGCATATAGGCCAAAAAGATGTAAAGAAAGGATACATTCCTGACACAGTCCTTTCTTGGTTTTGAACCGTACAGTGTTCCCTTGCTCCCTGATAATATCTCCCTGGTCTAGGTATAGGTTTTGCGTGAACATAATTAAAAGTTCTGGGATTCTCATTTTTCTCAATGTTAGCCACCTAGAGATTCCTTAATCTAAAAAGAAAATTGCTGTGTGACGGGGTTCGTGCTGCTTCATGCCCACCCCGTGTGTTGCAGAGTAGAACTGCTCTGTAGCATTTTCCTCACTAATCTTGATGAATCTGGTTCAAACTGCTGGGTGGGTTTGAATCTTCATCCTAGTGCTTAAATGTGCCACAAGGGCATTTATTGAGATGTTTGAATGGTGACCCTGAAAGAAGGGCTGTGTGTCCTCCCTTTAACAGATCTGTGAGGGAAGGGACATGCTTCCTCCTTCAGACTGTGGGCACCTGAAAGATCTGTTTCTTCTAGCATTGTCTGCATACATGAGCCTGTCTCCCTCTCACACCCAGAGCCAGGCTTTGTCTCCTTCCTCAGGGTGAGGGTCATATCTTTTGCTTTGAATCCAGGGCCCCTGTGTCTTCCGATGTCATTCAGCCACATACCCCTTTTGTGTTTAGCCTGGGGCTGCTCAGCACGGAGTGTCCAAGCAAGTGTGGGCATGTGTGTATGCAAGTGCATGCGTTTGTTCATGTGCACCAGGGACAAGCGCCCAGGCTGTCTGCCTGCACCAGCTTTCCAACCCCCAAGCCTGATTTCATCCAGCTGCAGAGGTGCTGAAGGGAAAGCTGGGCAGTGGGAGCTCCCTGAGATGGTGGGAGGCTGAGGCCTGTCTTCTTGCAAAGGTCAGCCCAGAGCGGAGGTGGGGCCCATCTCTTCTCCCCCTCTTCCTAGAGCCTGTGTAGGTGAGGGAATAAGCCCTGAGTGTTGCGCCTCCACTGAGGCCATGACTGCTTCTCCCTGCAATAAGTGAGGAGACAGCAGCTATTAATATGAGATGAGTTCACGGGCTCACAGCTTCTGCAGGCTGGAAAACAAGCTCCCGGGGCTGGGGGCTGCGGCAAGGCTCATCTGTCAGATTCTCTTCTGGAGCCTAGAGACCTCCAGCCATCAACCTCCCAGATCCCTGTATGCTGAGACTGTCATGCACATGGCCATAAGCTCATAGGGACATATATGAACACACACATGCATGCATGTGGGGGTCTAGGACTCTGTTCACAGACATACAGCCAGATGTGCATGTATACTCATGTCTATCTGTATGCTGGTGCACACACATTTATGCACACAAAGTATTAGCACATGTGCTCGGTTTCTACTTCATGTGTACATTTGCATGCAGGAGCACATGCCCAAATGTACCTTCCCTCACACACACAAGTGTAGACTAACCTTTGTTATGGATTGAATTGTGTTTCCCACAAGTGTGTGCTGTAAATCTTAACCTCTATACTTATGGTGAGGGAGCTCTGGTGGCCTAGTGGCAGGAAGCTGAGCTGCAATCCAGAAAGACACGCAGTTGGAGTCCACCAGCTGCTCCGAGGGAGGATGGTGGGGGGCCCACTGGAGGGTCACAACACCATCCCCATAACAACAATATACTCGTGGTTATAATCTACTTGGAAAAGGTGTTATCTTTGTCATGCAGGATTAATGTAGGGTGTGTCTTGGGCACTAATCTGAGATATAAAAGAGATTAAAGAAGCAATCAAGAGAAATAGAGATGGAAGAAGGCAGACGAAGAAACAAGTCTGATGATTACCAGGAGCAGAAGCTCAGAGAGACAAATAACTTCCTCCTGGGTAGACAGAAAACCATCCTCTAGAGCTACACTCCAAATTCTGACCTCTAGTCTCTTAAACCCTGAAGAGGGGGAAATCCTTCTGTTTGTTGAAGTCACTCATTTGTGCGCTTTCTTTGCCAGCAGCCCTAGATAACTAATACATCCTTGTATACGCACGTGTGCACACAGATGCAGACATTCTCGCACATCTAAAGCCATTTATACACCACTGTGCGCGCGTGCGCGCACGCGCGCGCGCACACACACACACACACACACACAGATGGTGTTCATACATTGCCACACAGGGTCACAGTCAAGGACCGAATGCAAGTACATCCCTTTCACACACTACGTACATTGCTGTCACACGCTCCCGACTGCAGTCAGTGCTCTCAGCAGTCATGAATTCACAGGTCAACCCTTGGCTTCTAGCAGCAATGGGCT